TTATTAAAGAATATAAAAAGAAAAATTATAGTAACAATTGGTAAAATAATTCGAAAAAAAATATAAATAAATTCAAAAATAATAAAATTTAATAGAGTATTTTACATTCATTAAAATAACAGTAGTATAAAACAGCTTTAGGAAAAAAATACGATAAACATTATGCGTATACACAAGCTAAAATGAAAAATGCCCATAAAGACACAACATAAAATGAATAACAAAAGTCAACTAAAATAGATTCGTTATTGATTTTATGTTACAAGAAAAAATGTCAATATTATGTTGGAGGCTGTTGCAATTTTCACATATGACATAAATTGGTAATGACAATAATAAATTAGTATTAGGCATTGCGAGGTACAATATGCGAGTAACGTAGTTTTATTATTTTTAACATGTAATATCGTCCTAGTAAAATATGAAGTGTGGTATTTTGTGAAAAAATAATTTTTCTGTGGATATAGGAAAAAAGTAATAAAATATTAAATGTGAAATTTAAATGAGAATATAATTTTTAACAAATAAAGTATTTTATTTTTTAATTCGCCATCTTCGTTCTTAGTTTTTTATTTTTTAATCATTTTGCTTTTGGTTTGCTTTTCAATAGTGTAAAGGTCTACATCAGACGTTCAATTGTTTTTGTGATATGCGTCCAAAATTTGTAAACATCCATACAACTTTAATGTTTAACCTTTTTCCGAACCCAAAAAAGAAAAGGAAAAAAAAAAAAGGAATTTTCGCGTTACCACCCTGTACAATACAATCATAATCCATAAATTGCATTAATTAATTTAAAAAAATCAAGTATTTACACCTGTCCTGGAAGCAAACTGCGTAGAAGAAATATTTTTCAACAAAATGAAAAAAATATAAAAAGATAAACCTGATTTGAGATGAAACCCATAAAAACAAATCGCCATACCTGACGACTCTTGAAACCAATTTATGATGTTTTGCAAAATGATGTAGCTGTCTTCTATAAGGAATGATGGTAACAATGATCAACAGTCCAACAAACCGGTATTGAAAACATTCATTGGCTTTGGTCGTACAATGATATGCTAATTAGTACAGGTTGATGTCAACGGCCGGAGATGTTTTACAATTTTGTCGTTAAGAAAAATCACGATTTTCTTATAAAATTCCTCACACTCAAAAGGTTGTTCGCAACAGTCAGAATTATACAAACATAAATAATTGATGCAAATTCTCACCTCTGAAGAGTTTAACTCGTTTCGACTAGCCGGTCCAAACTTGCACCTAAATGTGCCTCTTTCGTTTGATGTTAACTTAAATAATCAAATAAATACATGACAAGTTTTTAACAATCCAGCGTCATATGTATTGTTATCTTCACAATGTACAATTATTATCGCTGCTGTGCCATCAGGAACTATTTTCAATTTCAACCGCCTTCTGAATGGGTACCTACTCAAAGAATATGTATGAAATAAAATTCTGTAGCTATACAGGGTGTTTCGGAATAGGCCTGTAATATTTTACCAACACACTACGATAAGAGAAAAAGTTTATATAGGGTGAGTCATTAATAATGGTACACAGCTTAATGGCAGATTGTTAACGTCAAAATATAGCGATTGAGGCAAACATGCCTTAATCAATTGTTACTCCTTTTCGTTCTACAGGGTGTCGAAAAGTTGAAAAAATATTTTCGATTTTTTGCTATATCTTATGTATGTATGAAGATTATTTTGAAAATTTGTAGTTTTACGTTTTTTGAGGTGGCAAATACGAATATGCAACCAGCGTTTGGGTCAAGTCTAGGGGGCGCTAGTTATACTGTCCTATCAGTGTAAAAATATGTCTAACTTTTTATATTTTCCAAATTTAAATTTTTTATCTAGAAATTATTTAACTATGTTCAGTACTAAATAAAAAAGGTATACTTGTTACAAGTCGATAAACTCAACTTGCTTTCGAGATACAGACGTTTTATGTTTTTGAAATTCGGCGGGAATTAAATTAAAAAAGTAGCAGTTCTTAACATACCAAGCCTGAATTAAGAATTAAGACAAATATTACAAAATTTTATTATGCATATCTTAATAAATTATTAATCATAAAAGATTTTCAAAGCAACCACCAGCGACTTCAATACACGTTCTTAGCCTTTTATTAGCGATAGAGAAGTACCTTGGCCTGCACATAGCCCTGATTTAAATCCACTGGATTTTTACTTTTGTGGCAATTTCAAATCTCTAGTTTACAAAGACATTATTAATAGTCAAGAACAACTGTGGACAAATAGTTATGAATCAATTCATGTTATCAAACCACATAGAACTTTATTTAACGTCACACAAAATTTAAATAACAGTGAATTGAAATCGCTGGTGGTTGTTTTGAGAATCTTTTTTTATTAATGATTTGTTAAGATATGCATAATAAAATTTTCAGTTGCTGTAATGTTTGTCTTAATTCCTAATTCAGGCTTAGTATCTTTGCACCTGCTCAATTTCTAATTTACTTCCCGCTGAATCTCAAAAACTTAAAACGTCTGTAGATATCCCGGAAACGGTTGAGTTTATCGATTTGTAACAACATTTTTTATTTAGAATTGAATGTAGTTCAAAAATTTCTAGAAAAAAAATTTAAAATTGTAAAATACAAAAAGTTAGATATATTTTTACATTGATAGGACAGTATAACTATAGTGCCCTCTAGACGTGACCCCAACACTGTTTGCATATTCGTATTTGTCACCTCAAAAAACGTAAAACTATACAAATTTTCAAAACAATCGGTCCATATAGGTATACTTAAAATATAGCAAACAATCGAAAATATTTTTTCAACTTTAACACCCTGTAGAACGAAAAGGAGCAACAATTGATCAAGGCATGTTTGGCTCAATTGCTATATTTTGACGTGAACAATCTGCCATTAAGCTGTTTACCATTATTAATGACTCGCCCTGTATATGAACATAGAAAAATGCTTGAAGATGAGCACCTAAAAGTTGTTTTCTTCGGATATCTCTAAAACCGTTCGAGATCAAATAATACAATCTGGAGCCGAGTACTACTACTACGTTGGGATTCTAGTTAAATAAATTATTTTTAAATTTTAATCAGGCACGTCTCAATCTGGAAGAACTGTGAACAAATATATTCTAGTATCATTTATGTAGGTTTCAATGTTTCTTAAGTGCCAAAAACGTGCGAACAAAAATTTGTGATTATACAATCAATAGCGCCATAGGTCTTTCTAGGTTTTTAGCATATTTTTTTATTGCATTATACTAGCACTAATATCATAACTTATTTTATACAAAACTATGATTGCAAATTTAACAAATTTTCACAGAAAATTTCAAAGCAATTGCTACTCTTTCTAACATCTTTTAATCATCAATTCTAATAGTTAATAATTTGGGATAAGCATGTAATAAGATTTTTAAATCAATTTTACTCATATCAAACCAAACTCATACTAGAAAACTTTTTTTACTGTAAAATTGTATAGAATTACTAATTTCATGATTAGATATTTTATTTCATTTCACATGTAAGAATAATTCAGTTGAAGATTTATAAAACTTTCCTGAAAATAAAAGGTTCTAAGGAAAGGGGTGTCAATAAGATTGAAAGCTAGAATCAAGCAGGATAGCGAGTTTATTATTATAGTTCGGGACTCGGTCGGATAATCATAGTCGTCGCGTCGGCCTTCTGCTGCAGCGCACCAAACGAAACCGGTAATAACGGCAGTTATTGGTTTCGCGTATGCCTCATGTATACATGTTTTAATATTCTAATAATGTCGAATGCGCCAAGTGATAAAAAAACGACCTTTCGCTGATAAAATACTTAAATTTATTTATTTTTATTTATACCTACCTGTTTATTTATTTGTTTACGACGAATACGCCTATGACTAGCCGACGAAATCCCAGAACTCTACATATTATAGGTACATCTTGCTAGTAAAGCCGCTGGTTGCAAATTGTGAATATAAATTTAAAAATACCGCCACTAACAGTTCTCGTAGTACCATCCACCAAAGGGCGCTGTTGTTGTGCTTACTGCCAACTTTTCCCCAAAGAGATTGACGCGTCTTAGTGGTTTAGTCCATGTTTCTCTAGCTATTAGTAACAGTAAGACATATCATATATTGCAACAATTTATTCGGATGTCAATGTAGGTCATTACTATTAAGAACTAACCACAAAACGTTAAGATTTTATTTGTTACACTATTTTTTATAAATTATTTCATGGTTCACTTCATGTTCTTATGAAAATAGGTTACATCTGTTATTTATAGGACCCGTTAAATTCTAAGTAACCGGTACCTTGCTATTTGTTTTTTTTTGTTCATATCATAATTCTTATGCAAAATTTGGAAATTGTTGTGTGTTCATTTGAATGGTTTTGTTATTTTTTCATGGCCGAATTAAATTGCGATAGAACTTTTAATATAATTTAATTTATTGATGGTAAAGAATAACACTTTTCCACAATCAGTTTGATAAAATATAAATTCCCCCCCAATCATTGTAATGATGCAAAAGTTTAGTTTAATAATTTTCAAATTTTCTTTTAAATAAAAATCTGAAGTTACAAATTTGTTGTTTTGTAAATAAAGTTGACGTGTAGTATTAATATTCGAAATTTTGGTGAATATAATATTTAAGATTTTTTAACCTATATGGTGACAAGTACGCCTATAATGTTTATTCCATTATATGTTAGCTAATAAATAATTTTGTATTTACTATAACTATAACACAAAAGATCTGTTTTATAACATTACTTGGTTTTTGTTACAGAACAAATTTAATTTATTTCTTGTAACACTGATATTTCTCGCTAACTTAATTCATAATAAAGAAGAGGGGTTTCTTTAAAATTCTTGACAGTTTCAGATCGCGCATATTAATTACTTTTTAATAAATATATTCCTAGTATTAAAATACAAATTTTTTTACAAATAATTTTATTTAACAATAAATAAATAAATTAACAAAATACTTTTATATTAGCTACACAAGCAGGTGTCTTCTAAGTTATATTTTAGCCAGTTCAAATATTTGGAGACCCTCGTGTATACTCCTGGATATCCTGGCCTGCCACATCCTACGCCCCATGACACAATTCCTGCAAATAATGCAATAGATGAACAAGAGATTTTTAGCATTTGTGTTGTACCTTGACATACGTACAATTATTTATTCTTATTTAAAATAATATTATCCAAAATGTTCTTGTTAAAACCCTTTCACGCAAAGACCGCTGACATTAGGGAAAAAATTGTTACATCACAGCGTGCTTTGATCAATAAAAAATTGATTTATCCGAGCATTTTTCATTTTGCTTTTTACACACTACAATAGATTGCCAATTTATTGGTGAAATAATGAGAAAAATCTTCTAATTAAACTTACTAAAAAAAAATTATCTTTATATTATATTAACTAACGGACATTACTTATTCCCCAACCCATTAGTTGGTAAAAAAGCTTATTGAAATTTTCAAAAACATGTATTTTGTTATAAACTCTTGTATTTTAAATTTATTTTAAAGATATTATGCTAATTCAGATGGATTAAAAAAATGTTCCCAAAAATGCCGTGTTCTTTGACACCAGAAACGAGATTATAAAATATACCTATGCCTTTGTATACGTTATTTAGTCATTTAAATGTCAGCTATGTGATTTTTTAATTAATAAACTTACAAATATAATTTTTAATTTTTATTTTAGATAGCTAATTACTTATAGATATTGCTGATATAATTTAGTATGTTTGTGCAAGTAGCATACAGAATACCTAGTTGTTTTAAGCAATATCATTAATTAAGAATATTGTCTATGAGATTAGTTATATTTGTTTATTAGACAGGATGTTTAGGAAATGTTTTTTATTCTAATTCATTTGAATTAGCTTAGTATCTTTCAAATAAAGTAAAATATTATTGTAACATACTGCACAAAAATATATTACCTACTATACAGGGTTATCCAAAAGTCCCGGTACGGCAGAAAAACTTTAGCATTTTGGGAAAATATGTTTCAGACAAACGTGTAAGGATTTTTCCCTGGCTATCTGATGGCGACCTTGGATTTGACCTTGACTTTGACCTTCAAGGTCATTTGAAGGTCAAGTTAAGTTTTTTAAATGGTAACCTCTATTTTTTTATTGCGGATTTGGAAAGAGCAGGAAATTTTACGCCCAAAGATGGTCTTGACCATGACTTTGCCAATGATCTTTAAGGTCAAATGTGGGTCGACTTCCAAAAGTCAAGGTACGGCAGAACTTTCGAAAAATGCATTTTGGGAAAAAAATTTTCAGACAAAAGTGTAAGGATTTTTCCCTGGCTATCTGATGGTGATCTTGGATTTGACTTTGACTTTGACCTTCAAGGTAATTTGAAGGTCAAGTTAAGTTTTCAAATAGGAACCCCTATTTTTTATTGTGGATTTGGAAATAGCAGGAAAAATCCTTACACTTTTGTATGAAACATTTTTTCCCATAATGCATTCTGCGAAAGTTTTTCTGCCGTACCGGGACTTTTGGATAACCTTGTATATATGGTGGTACAAATAGCTACTAAAGCTAAACTTGTTGCTGCGATAAGTGAACTCGCTCTTTTGCGTCACAAAGTGCCCCGATGGCCCCATGGTGTATATCGTAGGCACAATTTAAAATCGGCATAATAAGTTATTGTGCTGATGTGTGATGTGACAATTCGCCATGCTTTTAGTGTGTTCTTTATGAAAATAAGCCTCACCTTGTTAAATCATCTGTTTTTGTCAAAAAAGTTTAAATTGGTCGCATAGTTTACTGATTTTACCTTCAATGCATAGTTCACTCGCTTGTAATTACATTTAACTTAAAGTTTTAGTAACTGCAGCAACATTTTTTAGTTACTACAGCAAGAAATCTTAGTATAGTGTTTGTGAGTTTATGAGTACAGTTAAATGATCTGGTTGTATTTGTGACCAATGTCTGATTATCAGGAATCTTGTTTTAGATGCAACTTTTTCGCTGAGGCAAGTGAATTTTTACTACTGAATTTTTTTCACATACCATAGGGTTTGTATTACATACACCAATATAATTTGACCAATTTATTTTGGTTAACCAGTTAGTTAATATGTTAAATTAAGAACTGGTGAATGTAAAACAAGTTTAATTCCTCACACTATGGAGGAATAAGTTTCTGAAGATTAATTTATTTTTATCAGTATCACGCGTCAACGTATTCATATACAATTACATGAAATATATAAATCTGACTGAACCCGCAATTACTTACCGACGATTTCATATTTATCCCCGCTGTGAAACAGAAGGGGACCGCCACTATCGCCTTGGCAGGAATCCTGGGACCCCTTGCCGGCGCACAGCATGTACGTTGTTATCCTGGACGCCCGATATTTCATCGCCCTGCATTGGCCTAAAGTAAGAATAGGAACATCAACTTCCTGGACTATGTTTGGAAGCATTCCTCCCTCCGAAGTTCGACCCCAACCTACGACGGTTCCCGTTTTTCCAGCTAGCTCCTGGGCTGAAAATCATTTTTTTAACTTTACTTTTTTGTAGGAAACATATGCGAACTTAAATAACTTTCATAAAGGATCACCATGTTTGAAAATATGTATGACCTACGCGAATTTAAATGCTTTACACAATTTGGACAATTCCACCCTAACAGAGTTCTAGAAAATTTTACAGAGAATTGATTATATTTATATCAGATAAAAGTAAAGAACGTAGCATCAGTCTGTTCTTAACTATCTCATAAGGAAATGTTATTAAATTGTTTTCTAGCAATTGCTATAGAATTAGTAGGTATTACACTTTAAAATCTAAAAATTTTTATAAATTTCTTTTAAATTGACTCGATTCAAGAAATGTAAATGTTATATTGTGTGGACCAAACCACAGAAACGATACTTGATTTATTCTGAACGTACGCAAAGTACAACTTCAAGTGTTTTAAGTTCATTAAACAATACTCGAAGAATCTATCAAGATCGGTTTGAACTAGAAAACGATTGACTATACTCAGAAAATATTTTTGTACTCGCATCAACTGCATACATGAAAAATTTGCTGTGCTGAAAACATAAGTGAATGCGTTGAGTTAGGTAACAAAAGGCAAATTTCGCAAATTTGATTTTTTTTAATTATTAGTTAGCTAGAAAGCCATTGAATTTAGAAACTTTTTTGTCTCTTGATATTTGTTTCGTAAAATGCAATGTTTTTGAAGAAAATAGCGAATCACGATATGCATTCGATCACATTTTGACATTTTTCTCGAAAAAATTGCGTTTTACGAAAAAAGTATAAAAGAGACAAAAAGTCTCTAAATTTAATGGATTTCTAGTGGAATGATAATTTTTAAAAAATTTTTGTATTTTTCCTAGCACTTTTTCATGAATTTTTGCTATTTTTGCCTTGTTTTTTAAGGTTAGGAAATTCCTGTGTTGTGATAGCTCAGTTCTGACACTGACATTCGTGATCAGGAAACAAAAATACTACGGATAACATATGTCGCATGAAAAGTACAGGTAACTTTTTTTGTGTGTGGTTGTTATTAATAAAATTATAATTAACTTTTTTCTACACCCGTATTATAACAATGCACTTATATGCCCATAACCCGTTTCATAATGATACCCATTACGATACAGATTTTTCATTACGATACAGATTTTTAATCAATAGAAACCCATAATTTTTCAATCAAGCATGCTGTGCATTTGACGTNTCCAATTCAGTGGCAGAAGGCTACATTGAAAATTCGGTTCAGAATAAAATCAGCATTTCCAATACAATATTGAACTCTATTGAGACTAGCAATAATGAAATAAATGTAAATATTCCTTCCACTTCCAGATCAGTGGGACCTGGAATAAACTTTTCAAACTGCACAATAAATAATCTTAATATTTTTAAGAAATCGGATTAATTACAATTATTATATGTTGAATATAAATACAAATAAAATGTTTATAGTTTTCTTGTATCTATGGCAATACCAATACCCGAGGTATTAATTACAATTTTGTAGATTTTTTTTATAGAAATACGAATAATTACTGTTACCTATTGTGTTCAATAAAAATATAAAATTTATGGTTTTTGATTATTTATCGGGTGTAGAAAAAATAGCGTATGCAACTCTCATGTAATGGTTATTAATACACTCCCATAAACCATACGAAACTCGCCTTCAGCTCGTTTCGTATCCCGGTTAATGCTCCTGTATTAATAACCATCATTACATGATCGTTGCATAATATACTATTTCGAAATATCTGAAATAGAATTATTTGTTTGAAATAACAATGTAAAGGAATTTATCGAAAATATAAAGTCACCAGATTTATGGCGAGCATCTTTCTGAGTTAGTGAAAACTGAGAACAGTTACCTCTTTTTCATAATCTCTTCTTACATAATATCAGTTTTGGTAATATGTTGAGAGTGAAAATTTCAATTTCAAAATATTGTTATTGTTGGCGAAACGACAGATTTGAAAAATATTGTTGAAATTTATAGAGATACCGCCATTCTTAGGTCACCAACAGAGAAAATATCAAGCGAAATTGCAAGATATCTTGAGTTGCTCAATCCACAGGAGTATGCGAGTCTTAGTGTTAGATGATCATCTATAACCATGCTTGCAGATGTAGGAGACATTTTAAAGATGAAGAGACATGGTAGCCGTTGGCAATGTCTTACGTAGAAAAATCATTTGAAAGCAAACTTGTGCAACCAAATTTTTGCGCAGAGACTCAGATCAGAAAGCAATCTCAAATAATGTCGTTCTGCCGCTTCGGATATATTGTCTACTACATTAAGGAGTTTTGAGTTGACTAGAATTCTTATTAAAAATTGTGTTCATTGCAAAGTAAATTAAGTATATTTCTATATTCTTACTAACAGTTTTTTAAACTGAAATCATTTTATTGCACAGACTCTTATAAAAGCCAATTTTTTACACCGGAAATTATGTAAAAAAATATCATTTTTGAAACGATCGTAGATAAACGACTTTGTCTTAGAATTACAAAATATTTGCGATATAGGTTCAGTTGGATCTATTTGTAACGAGAGCTGACATGATAGCCAGCATTTTACCAAGTGATTTTTAAAGTTAACTTCTCATTTCATATTCCTGCTTAAGGTGAACTATCAATGATGCAAAGTGCAGGAAAATATGTGGAAAGCTACGCTACACTACCAAACGTTTTCATATAGCGAACAATGTTCCCTTGCTCCAGCACTCTCATTATAAGAGGACGTGACTGTTAGGTAAAAGACAAATAGTTACACTTACTTTTAGGTAAACAAATTGGTCTTATTTGCTTCGTAAACTCAACAGGTTTCCTTAACCTTAACAGTGCGATGTCGTGGTTGAATGTGTCAGGATCAAAATTTCTGTGCTTGATTATCTGAAGTACTGCCCTCATCTTCGCGGGGACATCATTTGTAGTAGACGCGTCATGGTCGCCTAATATTACCCTTATTTTCGATTTTTTCAGCCTAAAAGTTCAATGCCATCATTAGTAATACCTATTACTATTTTACGTCAACAGAATGGTAGGTTTTACTTAATGTAGTGCCATTTTCGATTTCAGTTCATATTCTGAGTGTAAAGAGCGTCCCAGAAAACAGTTGTCATTCAGCAATCACAGATTCCTGATATAAAGACAATTCCGTTTATGTCAACTTATACCTCAGTTCAAAAATGCTTCGTTTAAAACTTACACTATGTTAAAGTTTAGCTTTTGATATTGAGAGAACCCTTCTAGAAACTAGGTAACTGAAACTAGAAACAAATAATTTTGGACGGCGTTTATTGGAGGTTGAATTCCTAACTCGATCCTTTTTGCGGAAATCCCAAGGCTATTCATGAAAGACATTTTCAACATGAATTCAAAATGACGATGACGGTATAGACATGTATAATTAATAACTATTTATCTAAACTAAACCGCAGTGGAGAAAAGTTCTTTATGTACGACAGAGTTCCTACACATTTCTCTCAAAATGTATGGAGATTTTTTAATAAAACAAAAGAGATTGGTAAAGAACAAGATGTACTGTATCTTACTCTCGGAGTTCTATATTAAGGTAAGTTGACTTAATTTGTTTTTACTACCTCAAGAATGTATGGCTGATGTATGGTCATCGTTTTCTGGGACACCGTATGTATAAAATGTGACAAAGACGTTTAGTTAGTAGAGTTTAATTCTATATTTTTGCTCAAGTAATTAATGTTAACTACTCACAATTTTATACATATGTAATAAGAGGTAAAACTAACGCTTCTTTTGAAGAGAGCAATTATACCTATTTCATGATTTAATTATTGCCGGAAGAAAACTTATTGTACTTTAATTAATTCTGCAAAATATATACCATCTACTTTCATGGGAAAGTTTCTGTCCCTGACAATAAAGCATTATTTGAAATATAATTGGATAAAATAAAACGTTTACTTATCCGTACTGTACTAATAAGGTTTTGCAGCTACATTTACATGTTGCAGATTAATAATGAGATCTGACTGAAGTAGTACTTTAATATTGAAGAAAGGAAACTACGTCCCATTGAGTGTTAAAATGCCACAAAGTACAGGGTGTTCCGTTTAAGAAGTGACAGGTGCATACCTAAATATTATAATTTAATCGAACATATCTATATACAAAGTTTTACATAGTGGAAATTACAGGCTTTCAAATTTCGAAAAAAAAATCTGCAACGCCTTAACATAGAAATACCTACTAAATCTGGTATATAATTTAAATACATTAAGGGTTATAAATTGACCATAAGTTCAATGTCATTGACTCCTCAAACAATCTCAATTTTTCGTGCAAGCGGCATAAGGTTTATCAAAGTTTAGCAAAAGTATATGAAATTTACCTCTATGATATGAGGACAAAAAAAATCCGGATGGAGTTAAGTGTGGGTATCCCCTAATTATCATCTTACAATAGCTCAATGACCTTGAAGTTATGGTCAATAACACTTAGTTAAAGCGTTCCAGATAAACATTTTTTTTTTCGAAAATTTGTGCTTCACGTTATAGACTTGCAACTTTGTATAACGTATTGTACAGAAAAATTGACGTATTATAAATTCTAGGGGAAATTAAGTGTCAAAATTTATCCCTATCACAAGTTATCTTTATTGTTTGTTCTGTTCTGTTTCCAATGTGAGCAATGTTAAAATTTGAAACAAATATTTACAAAAAAAGAAGACAAAAGTAACATTTTTTTTGTGTTTGGAAAGGCTCTAAAATCCTACATTTGATCAGTTATTGGAAAAGTATAAAAATAAGACAATATAAAATACGTTATAAGTAGACTTCCCATTTGGTATAGAGAAGTTCTTGTAACATTTGACAACTAGTGGCGTAAGAATTAGGTAGGTTTAAGGGATGTCAAATGTTCAAAAATGTTTGTCGATGAAGAGTATCTTCGTTTGCAGATTCGGAGTGACTATTTCCAATGTTCATAATATTCAAACAATTGTTATTGTTTCTGCATTTTTAACCACGAACTGTGTTCAATTCTAGAAAAAATAATCTAAAGAGGCAAAAGAGTTTTTATCGAAAATGGCATATCCAAATCCTGTAAATAACTATTTTTTTTAAGTTGAATCTCCTCATACTCCTTATAATATCGAGGTTAGGTTTAGTTCAAATTAAACATGATGATGAAGATAACTGCTGCCTACTGTATTAGAAAAAATATTATTCCCCCCTTTGTTCATTATGATAAGGACTCGGCATTGAAAATTCAATGCAACGTCTTGTTACACTCTGTATAATATGTCATATCAAAACTATAGGAAGAATTTAGTAATTTTTGTTTAATCTGGGGGTATTAGCAAAATTTTATTAAAAAAAATTAACTTAGATGTATTGTATTATACTTATATTTTAAAATTTGTGTAGTACTTACCTTCTAACGCAATGTGCAGCCGTTATAACGTAATCCTCTGTTAACAACGATGCTCCGCAATGGTAATGCCCATCATATATAATTCTTGCTATCCAAGGATAGCGATTAATTCCAGTGGGCTTGCCACCAACTATGCGGTTTTCTTGATTGGAAACTCCACATTCTGTAAATAATCGTATACAGAACAGGTTGTTTTAAAAACTCATATGTACAAAAGCTGTATCAGGGTTATCATAACATATAAATATAACGAATGAAACAGAATATTTTACATTCGCTAAGTTTATGTCATAACTTGGGGAAGTTATATTGTTCTATTGATTATATTAGACCTGGAAGTATTAATAAATCAAAGAGGTTCGAGGTCACTTTCTGGGTTTTAAAGTGTTGATTTTATTTTTAGTATTAGGTGTAAGATAAAACTTAATAATAATGGATTTTACAACTTACCGCATGTGCAGTTTTTAGCTTTCTCGCCATCACTCCCAGTGTCATTATCGTCGTTATCATCATCACTCTCAAATAGATCAGTATTTCCAGTAAAAAGGTTAGTCAAGCCAAATATCTGATTAAAAAGAAACTTCCCTCCACGTGAGGACCCTTGGGAAAGCACTGTTCTATTCTGCAGGGGAATGAGAGTAACGTTTTTCTAAAAAACAGTAAACTGTTTAAATAAGGTTCGCATTTTGAAAATCCTGTTAAACGACTTTTGTTATTTTAACGATATGTAAAAAAGTTATTTAAGTACAAATGTACTGAAATCTAGCTATGCCGTAAAAGTGGGTACAGAACGAGCAAACAATAGTGTACAACAATTGGATAACTCACAATGCGCGAAGCATTGTGTGTGTTGCCAAACTGTTGCACCGTATTTGCACTGGTGGCGGTACTTCGAAGGAAATGTGACTCAAAACTGTGGTTAATATTGCACACAAATATTTGCATTTAGTTTAATTCCCACGTTAAATACGACACGTATGTCAGTTGCTTTATTGTCAAGAGTCTCTGGACAGTTTCCCACTTTTCGCACCACTACTACGATATTTTATTGCTTAACAGCTCAGTTGTTCAGTTCATTTAAACCACAAGTTTAATCTGTTCTTGCTTCCTCTATCCCCTTCAACCACTTTGTAATAAACAAAATAATCAAACCGTACATCATTCAATAAAGTATATAAAGGACAAAAGAATATGTTACATGAATTGCACAGTCGATTAAAATTGTTGCACGTGACATAAACCGGTGACTTTTTCTTCTCTTGGTGCAGAAAAGATAACACGAGTAACATTAAGCAAATTAGTACAATCAGCGGTATTAATGGTAATATTATTTTTATAAACTTATTTATTTATTAAACATTTTTTGTATATACAGGTATAACCTAAATGATACAATTAATGAAACAATACAATAATGTAATAAAATTAATTAATTGATGCATAGAAATATTGAATATGTCGATGTTAAATGGCAGTGAATTCACAGCTTTTATAATTTCGCTCACGGAAGAGTGCAGCCCGACATTTGTACGATGATGACTTTATTGAAGTAGTTCCGTTGATCTAATATAGTCTGTTTAGAACTGAAAGAGAGTAATAAAAGCTTATTATGTATGCAAATCGTAAATAAATGTGCTTACATTCAATATTTTTATATTATGTATTATCGGTATAGATGAGGTGTACTTTTAAAAAAACTTTGTGCGATCGGACTGTACTAAATTGTAGCAGGTAGCTAAAATTTAATCCCCGACAATCCGTCTTTGTCTATGCCGCTTCAATTTCTCGGTCCATTTCTCTTATAAGTAAACAATATAAAAACAGCATTTCAAAACATGAGGCTACTTTAAGCATCATAACCGGGTTAAGAGGGTTTTTAGTAATTCAAATAAAATTATTCAATATTATTATCAAAATATTTATTTAAATTTAATGAATAGACTTTTATTCCACACAAAAATATATGTATTTTGAAAATTCAAATTATGGTGAGTAAATGTAGTGTTGTATAAATGTACAATAAAGAAAATAAAAAAGTAGGTATATTAAAATTCATCCTCTGAATATTCTGATGAATTATCTTCGTCTCCTAGATTGATAACGATAGGTTCCACAGTAACGTCAATTAAATTATCGAGTTCCCACATTTTCTCCTCTTCTTTTTGTACATGATGTATACATCTTTGCCAGTTATCTGCAGTTACTCGTTCCAAGGAATTTTTTAACAAAATTTTCACGTCACTTAATTTAAACGTCGTATTATTTCGCGCTACATCTCCTTTTACCTGCGCCCAGACTAATTCGATTGGGTTAAGTTCACAGTGATAAGGTGGTAACCGTAGTACCGTTATTTGGCGATTTGTTGCCATTTCATCGATAACATATTTTTTCTGATCTTTATTAAGATTGACAAGTGTCAAAAGTTCCTTTTTCACCATATTTGTTTCAAAAGAAATGTTTTTTCCGGATAACCATTGAATTATATCGGCTTTCCTCCAAGCAGTCGTAGGCGTCCGCTCGGTCTGCCGTGAATGGTAACTGGCATTATCCATGACAATTACAGACCCCGGAGGAATAAGATCCAACATCTGTGTAAAATACTCTTCGAAAACATCTGCGTTCATGTCTTCGTGATAGTCACCTGTATTTTTAGATTCAAATAAAAGTAAACCGCCATCTACAAAACCACTGGCACTACCTATATGTGTCACTATTAATCTTCGCCCTTTACCTGAAGGTGCCTTGAACCCTGTTGAAAGTCCATCCAAAAATGCTTGTCGAAAACTTTTTACATTTTTATCTTGCCATACTTTTGTTACAGTATATCCCTCGTTGACCCAAGTTTCGTCTAGATAATAAATATTCCTCCCTTCGTCACGGAATTTTCTAATTGATCTTAAGTAGGATCTTCGCCAACAAATAATTTCATCTTTATCGATAAGAACTGACTTCCTGTTCTGCTTTTCCCAGCAAAAATTCAACTCTCGTAAGACGGCCCATAATTTGCTTCTACTGATTTTTGGCAAATCGTTGTCCTCTGAAAGTTCACTTAAAATTTTGTTTAGCGTTGGTATTTCTTTTTTAAAATAAAATGAGTGTACTTTTCTGCGAATGACATTTTTGAAGAAATCATCTATAACGACTTTTGACCTCCCTGTAGATGATTTTGGGGGATTTACAGTATCTTGTTCATTTTTTGTTTCCTTTAAAAGTCTGTAGATAGTCGATTTTCCAATCCCTGTCATTTTGGAACACTTTTCCACGATGTCGTCAACACTGTTGGTAGGATTTTGGTGTTTCAATGCATTAAATACATTTAATATAATAATCTTCTCATTCTGAGACAGCGCACATCTTTTCACGCGTTTAGCAGGTACGTAATCTGATAAGCTCGACATTTTACCCAAACAATATTATATCCACTGGCACAATAGTCACTAAACACAAGTCGAATTTTACTCTACTGCACTAGCACGTCTTCGTATATTCAGCTCTAAGACTGGATTGATCTGTCACAATACACTGGCTCCTGCCCTATGATGTATCCAGTAAAATATACTAATGTACACCCATTACCTGTTAGCATTAGTGTTACCCGATAATTACCTGAAACGAAATATTACCACGCCTATGGCCGGTTCTTATCTCGGAGTTTTATTACTCTCTTTCATTTCCAAACAGACAGAGTTGCATAGTTTGGAACTCTTAAGCCCTAAATAAAGACAATAACTCATTGCAGTCTATCTTACCATTAAAAAGTTTATATGCAAATTTTAAATAAACACATTGTCTTCGATGCTGCAGGGATTTCATGCCAATTAGATTAAGTCTATCTTCATACATATAATTATTTTTGTTTATGTTACAAAAATATTTAGAATAGCAAATTTTGTAAACACTTTATTAAACATTTTTTGTATCTACAGGTATAATCTAAATGATACAATTAATAGAAGAATACAATAATGTAAGGTACGTAGGTAAATATAACAAATGTATAAAAACTGAAACACGTAAAACAAAAATTGTAAAACACGTAATAAACAATATTATAATCGATTATAAAACATAAAGGATAAAGGTAGGTTTAGTTCAACTGCTTAATAAAATTAATTAATTGATGCATAGAAATATTTAAAATGTCGATGTTAAATGGCAGTGAATTTACAGCTTTTATAATGTCACTCACGGAAGAGTGCAGCCCGATATTTGTGCGTTGATGACTTGATTGAAGTAGTTCCGTCGATCTAGTTGCATAGTTTGGAAATCTTAAGCTAAGTAAAGACAATAACTCAATGCAGTCTATCTTACCAATAAAAAGTTTATATTCAAATTTTAAATAAGCACATTGTCTTCGATGCCGGGATTTCATGCCAATTAGATTAAGTCTATCTTCATACATATAATTATTTTTGTTTATGTTACAAAAATATTTAGAAGAGCAAATTTTGTAAACACTTTCTGATATTATTTATATATTAAACATTTTTTGTATCTACAGGTATAACCTAAATGATACCATTAATAGAATAATACAATAATGTAAGGTACGTAGGTAAAGATAACAAATGCATAAAAACTGAAACACATAAAACAAAAACTGTAAAACACGTAATAAAAATATTATAATCGATTATAAAACATAAAGGATAAAAGTAGGTTTAGTTCAACTGCTTAATAAAATTAATTAATTGATGCATAGAATTATTTAAAATTTCGATGTTAAATGGCAGTGAATTTACAGTTTTTATAATGTCACTCACGGAAGAGTGCAGCCCGATATTTGTGCGTTGATGACTTGATTGAAGTAGTTCTGTCGATCTAGTAGCATAGTTTGGAACTAAGCTAAATAAAGACAATAACTCATTGCAGTCTATCTTACCATTAAAAAGTTTATATGCAAATTTTAAATAAACACATTGTCTTCGATGCTGCAGGGATTTCATGCCAATTAAATTAAGTCTATCTTCATACATATAATTGTTTTGGTCTATGTTAAGTTTGAATAGAATATAATTGCAAAGTTTACGCTGAACAGATTCTAATCTATTAATGTAAATAAAATATTGAGGGTTTCAAATTATGCAGCAGTATTCCAGGAAAGAGCGTAGAAGAGAATTATGTAATAAAATAACTGATAAGATATTAGTAAACTCACGAGTTTGCCTCTTAATAAAACTGCATAATCTGAAACATTTGCGCAACATATCTTCAATATGGACATCGAACCTCAAACAGCTGTCAAATTATACTCCTAAGTCAGTTACCGCGTTTACTCTTTGAAGCGTAATATTATCTAAGTGGTAATTTGAAAAAAATACATTCTTTTTACGGGTAAACGTAATAACTTTACATTTACCATAATTTAATGACATGTCGTTTGACTTACACCATTTCGCTAATGAATTTAAGTCACTTTGAACTCGATTGCAGTCATCAGTATGCTCAGCATAAAAAAATAATTTTAGGTCATCAGCAAACATTAAGAATCTACAATATTTTAGGCAATTAGAGATGCATTTGTATGAGAAACCCAGCGACATACCTATTCTTCGCAAATCTGAACTAGGTACTTGATAATATTGTAATTTTGATATTTCCTATTATATTCCATCAACTTTATAAAGACTTTGAAAACATTTATTCTCGATTCACCATTTCTGAATACTAATGAACATAAGTATAATATAACGTCTTCATAACTCCAATTTCCTACAATTTTTATTGACAAAAAAATCATAGAATGCTTCTATAGTTTTTTTTCTAAATCATATCCAGTAAGAGTTAATTTTTAATCAAACAACACAACACGTCAAAATTTGAGTAAGAATTACAGCAGGACAGATTATTGTTATCAACATTATATATAAACTGACGCAGCGACTATTTTTTTTTCGAAAACTGAGAAAAATCTAGAGGTATATAAAATCTATTTTTTTTTAAACACCAGGATGTTCAAGGTGGCAAATTCTGACAATTATCTAAATTATACATATATAAAAGAAAATGATTTCAAATTATTTTCTTAAAAAATATACCAGAATTGTATCATATAAGTTGATAAAGCAGAAAGCAAAAGGATCCAAGTAGGATCCAGGGTTTCCACTGATCCCATATGACGTAGCAATTTAATGGATTGACAGCAAGATTTGTCATTAGCGACTGGTTTTCAGAAATAAAGTTGCTGTATGTCGATATAAGTGTTTGATTGATTATGTCGATTCTACAAATATGTTTCTTCTACCTAGCAAGCAAATATGACACAGTGGACAAATGAACATTCGTTTCTTCACCATGAATTCTCTTCAGAAAGGAAAACATATCCAACAAGTCATTTTTCGTTTACTCTTATTTGTGATTAACTAATACTGTTGAACAGTACATTTACAACATGTTTCCCGAAGCTAAAAAGTCTATAGAACATTAATACTTTGCGTGAACATTACGCTTCCTGTTACGCTGTTTACACGAGTTTACGAGTCTTTAGTTATATACAGTGTGTCCCACTTAAACATTAGCCACCCATGTAAAATTGTTATTTATTGACCGATTTGTTTCAACTTTTTTTTGTTTGATAGATCACAGAAGAAGGAGTAGAATGTATAATTTCGGTATTTTTGTGGTCAAAGCCATGGCCAACTGAGACGCGTTTTATAGGAGGAAAAAACGAGAAGTAATATTAGCGATTTTTTTCAACAAAAACTGCAACGGATTCTTATTCGGGACTATCTAAAACCCTATTATACCAATTTTTGTTGTGATAGAATACAGGGTGTTGCACAAAAGTAAACCTTAATTTTTTAAATCAACTGAAGATTTATTTACGAAACACATGCATTGTTTGAATATTGAGTATCAGTATTATTCAAATTAGTAATAAAGGAAACTTATTATTATTATTATTTAACACTTTTCAATACGTCGACGACTATTAATTGTTACTTTTCATAACTGTTGCCTAGTAATGTTACGGCATGCGTCTGTAATACGTTCACAAAGTTCTTCTCGCGTTTGGAGCCTCGTAACATAAACTTTATTTTTAACAGCTCCCCACAAAAAAAATCGAGAGGTTTGAGATCTGGAGACCGCAGTGGCCAATGAATTAAAGGACTGTTACGTCTAATCCATTGATTGGGAAAATGTTTATTCAGATAGTTTCTCACTATGATCGAATTATAGACAGGTGCTCCATCTAGCTGTACATGTAAATGAAGGCGATCATTTAGAGGCAAGTGATCGGTTTTGTCCATAAATTCATTTTGTAGGAATCTCCAAAAACCATCCGCATTTAAATTTCCTTCAAAATAGTTAAGGCCCAATGAGTTTTAGATTTAAAATGCCATACCAAATATTCACCTTAGCGGAATACCGCATTGTATAACCCAATGCGGATTTTCTTCACACCACATTATAATATTTTGCGAAGAAATAATACCGTTTGTAGCTTCATCAGTGTACAAAATATTTTTCAACAGAAACAAAATTCCATTCTTTCTTATGTCTCTTAAACACATCTCCAAATTTGATTTCTAGATATATCTAAATTAATGCTGCCAAAAATCGCTAATACTACTTCTCCTTTTTTCTTCCTATAAAACGCGTCTCAGTTGGCCATGGCTTAGATCGCGAAAATACCGAAATTATACATTCTACTCCTTTTTCTGAGTTCTATCAAACAAAAAAAAAGTTGAAACAAATCGGTTAACAAATAACAATTTTACATGGGTGCATGGCTAATGCTTAAGTGGGACACACTGTATAATTCAAAACAGTAATATTGAAATGGACAAATAAAAAAGTAAGTTTCAATTCCTATCGATGATTTAATTATCGATTAAATACTCTATTCTGTTGTAATTTGCTCTACACCATAAACACTAAAATGACTACAATATCTCCAGTTGAAGCTATGTAATTTCTTTCATTGAAAACGTATGCTTAGCAATTTCTATGATACACTTTAGGGAGAAATGCTTTCTCCTAAGGGAATTTAAGAAAAAGTGATCTATTAAATGTAATAAGCTACGGTTATTGTGAAATTACATTTCATTAAAATTAATTAAACCAATTAAAACGAGTAGACAAAACACTACGGTAAATCTGCAATGCGATAAGGTTTCTTTCTGTTAACCCAATTTCTAGCTGCAGTTCGATTTAGTAGAAATTTAATAATTGTTGTTGATACATAGAATCTTTGTTTAGTAAATTAAAAGGAAAAAATGTAATATTCGCAAATCGTATTTAGGTATACGATATGAGAAATTTTAAATAATTTGCATGAGAATATTCAGAATGCATAAATTACTTTTTTATATAGATATGTGTAGGCGTATCCTACTTTTGAATTGCGTATTTTAATTTATGTTTAAGATATTTAATTTTACAGAAAATTATAAAAAAAAAGAAAGTAAAATTAACCCAATTTCTTTAATTGATGTCGTTTGGTAGAAATTTATACAATATTGCTATAATAATGGTGACAACTTATTATCAAAATTGAAATTGGGCACAAAATCTACTTTCTCTGCAAAAATGCTTATGTGAACAATTTCACAAAACTTTAATATAATTGGCAATTTATTACTACAAAATGCATTCATCATAAAATACCAGTGACTGACTTTAAACAAATTTTATACAACTGTTATATTTTATCAGACTTGATTAGGTTTTTCTCATCTAAAACGTTTATCCCTTTCGATCTAGTACCTAATTTTATTATAAACAATTAAATTAATAGTTAATATGAATATACCTAAATCATGTATGTATCTGTCAGAAATTTTTTCCAAAATAAAGAATAGTTTTGAAATAGCGTGTCTTTTAATTTAAATAATAAATCTTCGCTAAATCTTCTCCACCATTTCTACAGAAGCAGAGAACTAACCTAGTTTCTACTGTTTGAAAATAAAGAAATTTATGCAATACTGCTATAACATTTAAAAGTGATATGCATGTGACTGAAATGGTAATTACTTTCCCAAAACAGTAAGAGACTACTTTCTCTGCAAAAAAAATATGTACGAGTGACAAATTCTCAGAACCAGCATCATGTATTTTGTGAAACAGTTATACGTAATGCTAAATATATGTTACAAAGTGTTTCATTTCAACAAATTGCAAAGAAAATATGCAGAAAATAACAAGGAATATACAACAATACGACGGAGTATGAGGAAATATACGGTCATTCGAGGAAAACAAGCAAACAATTAGGAAAATTCTCATTTCTTTACAAGAAATATCATTTGCTCCTAACTCTATTTAAATTAAGTAATATTGTATGAAGTGTACTTATCCGTGACTTTTATAATATCAAGCTATAGTAAGTATATTAAGTATCAAGGACTAAAAGTGTTCTTTACTGATTGAGGATATGTTTGGAGATTGAGACGAAGATCTCCAAAATGTTCGAAACCAGTAAAACATTTAATAACCGCAGTGTTTATGGCGATTTTTGCGAGGTCAAATATTGAATAAATAAAAACTAAAAATTGTATTATCTCAAAAATATAGAAAACAAACAAGTCGTACATGAAAAAGTTTACGCTTTGATTACTATGACACCGAATATTTATTGTCAAGTGTCATCTGCTGTCATTAGAAATTTGTCCAAGATAATATTTTTGCTTTGCTTAAGCTTCTTGTAAGTTATGATATGATTCAAGAATGTGACGATTCAGACTTCAGAAAATCCGTGACAAATAGATGCTCAGCCATAATTCCCTAGAAGTCTAACGAGAGATATGAGAAAATCTTCAAGCTGTTTGCAGCGTGGTATAACAAGACAAATTTTGAAGGTATCACAGAAAAGGTAATGCTAGGTTATTTTGTTTCAAGAAATGAAACCCTAAAGTCTCCAGGAAGCTTACGGGCTGAATACTTTATACAAAGCCACAAAAGATCAATTTTTCTAATGAAGTCTATTTAAATATAAAAGTAGGAATGATATTTGGAATAGCAGGGGTGTGCAGAAGGAAATATACATATAACATAAATAACATTAAAGGTAAAGGTGCGGATCCCTCAACTTATATCGGACACGCATCCGAAGGAGTTCTGCCACTATTCTGGAATATATTCTGGAATATTCTGGAAACCAAGTAATAGATATTTTAGGCCTTAAAAGGCACGGTGGGTGGCGTTCGTCCTCTGTAGCTGGAGGATATATCGAAGACTTTGTGGAAAATAAAAATCAATTTTCAAACAAGATTTTACATGGAAATTTTCGAGGAAATCATCAGAAGAGAGCGTTGTTTTAAACTCGAATTCTATTACTCCAATAAATTTTACTAACTGTTCAAATTGAAATTTCAATTTTGTTTTAATAAAAAATGATTTTTAAATTTAATGCAACAAATTCAGTAAAGGTGTCAAATTACCTGAACGTGTAAAAAATATATTTTACAAATTTTGTTTGTTGATTTTTTCTGAGCAGTCATCTCATATATTAGTAAAAATCGTATTAAATAGTTTTTTAATCACTATTATTTTAGAATTGTGTGTACCTATACATTATTATTAAATTTTGATTATGATTTTGAATAATAAATTGTAGATACACTGTCACTTTTACTCACTATAATAGATAATATTTACAAAGCTAATATGTATTTATATTTCTTTTCCATCTGTACACACCTAGGTATTTAATAGTATTATCTAAATATATTAAAGCTCTAAATTTCTATGGGTAGGTACCTATATCGTTTATGAACGAAACCCAGAGGTGTCCTAAACACCCAATAAGGATTTGCTGTGATTTTTCTTTCAGATGTTTCAATTTAAGGGCGGCATCTTTATTTTATAGAAAATATATTGTGTAACATAGATTAGATATATTTGCATTAAATTTAAAATAAAAATACACACGGAAACATGTTTTTCCCTTATTTTTGAAAAATTTCTTTTGGTGTTTACTTATTGTTAAAAATAAATTGCACTGAATTATGTAAAACATCTAAAACTTTGAGGTAAGAATTTGGTGGCGCTAGTCATAAAAGAACACTTTTTTGAAAACTTTTTCCATAACTTAGTTTCAAATTTGGCACAATGCCTGAAACATTGAAAGTCTTAAATGGATTAGAAAACTGGCTTAAAAATCATTCAAAAATCTTAAAAAAATCCTCTAGTACCAAGCTGATAACATACCTAAACAATTTCCGAGAAAAAACATAAGAATTTTAAAAATAGTTAAAATTTACCCATTTTCCAATTTGAACGAAGTTGGATTTGATTATAAAAGAAAGTTGTGTTGTATTATATTGTAAAGCATTAAAATCTTCCAAATCATCTTTAATTACATTATTTAGCGCGTAATAAAAACTGATCAGTTGCAATGTATTGTAAAATTTACTGGAATTGGCAATATATTGTCATGAAATATTATATAAATCCAATTTTTTTTATTAAAACGGTTAATGTTATCGACATAGTACTTTTGTAATATTCTATAATTAATGATCATTAATATTTAGTTTAATATTTCGAAAAAACCACAAAAAAAAATTATTATAATTTTCCAGTTAACAAGTGTTCCAGATTTGAAAATATCTCTTACATGGAAAAGGTAACAGCAAAATATGAATAAAAAATAATAATTTTAGGTTCTTTAACTTCGTTAATACTGAATTTTTTAAATAGTTTCATAAGAACCTGTACTATTAATTTCGCGACTAGAATCTGCTTACTTCTATACTTTTTACTCAAAGTTTTCAGACACCCCGTTTTTTTTTTAATTTGAGCATCCACTACAATTTCGCAGTTCCAACGCTTATGGTTATACAGGGTGATTCAGGTTTAATTTGGATGACTTCAGGAATCGATAGAACAGGTTAAAATAATGTTACTATTTTTCAAAACTTTTAAAAAATGTATTAATTTCAATAAAACAGCTGCACATCACCTTTGCCTCATTAATTTTGAAACTTTTTCGTCTCTTATTTTTTTTAGATATTTGGCCTTATTTCTGAGATACTCTGAGATATGAAATTCGTGACAATGTAGCGCCCTGAATACAATTAATAAATAAAATAGGCAGATAAATGTTTAACAAGCACGAACAATTTTTTATATTTTTTATTAAAAAAGAATAATTTAAAACTGTATTTAGGTAAATTTTAGATCATCTAATTAAATATGTATAAAATAAGTATATTAAAGCATTTATTTTAAATGTATCCGACTTTAGTTAAAATTTAGGAATTAATGAGTATCTTATATCAATTATTTTGTGTTCCATTTTAGTCTATTAAGCAGGGGCATTTGCAAATGTAACATTAACATTATGAGAAGGATGATTTTTTAAAATTTGTGTGTTCATACTTACTTTAATTGAATAGCAGTTGCCCACATCGAAAGTAAACAAAAACCAGAAAAGAATTATCCTGACAAATTTGGTGGATTCAAATTTTACTTTCATTTTTTATCCCAAAATACTTTAAACCAAATAACATCACGTTTTGCCACTAAGTGAAACTAATAAATATTTAATAAAATGGTATTATCCGAATAAACAATAAAAGAAGTTAGGTTATCTTAACACTAAAAATCGAGCGTTTGCACCTGCTTGGGTGCTTTCACCGTCTTCGAGGGACTAAGAATTAAGAAATTCTTTCTCCGTAACCTTCAGAAGAAAGTAAGTTCGTACAGAGGGAAATTATAACGTCATAATAAATCCAAATGAGGACGTAATATTTTATTTCCAAAAAGATCGCCTATTAAATGAAAGTTTAAGAATACATTAATACTTGCTCTTAGTAAGGGAAAGTTGCAGTTGTTAGTTCTGGGAGATAACGGGTATGTAAATAAACTTGACATTGTACCATGCAATTAAAACGAATATACCATGCAGTTGAATTGTACGCATTTGAATACTGTGACTTATCAATGACCTACTTTTACACAATAGCACACGTAGTTATGTTCCTTCAGAATATGGCATAAATCACTCAAAAAATGATAAAATCTGTATAGCACACAAACATTGTTTTTTGGGAGTTTACCCAAGTTGTAGCAAAAAATAATTTAAAGGATGCTTATTTCGATCTCCTACAAGGGGAAGAAATTTTGGAAAAGTTGTTGAGAAGTTGCACGTACATTAGTAGAAAATTTATGTAAACCTTTTTGGTTTTTAAATTACAGGTGCTATTCGTTATACTAGGTGATAGTTTTCTCCGGTTACCTCTCCCTTCTAGCTTTCTGTAGGCGATTTTCTCAAGACAATATATTTTTTTTAATAAAACGACCTTTTCAAAGTTGCTGCCCGTTTTAAAAAAATACAACCACTGTAAAAGTTTTGACAACTAAAACGAAGAGGTAACCGGAGAAAACTATCACCCAGTATATCGATTTGACTAAAGCTTTAAGAAATAATATGCCACAATAGTGTAAATAAATGAGCCAAATATTAACGCGATCGGTAAAAGAGCTATGAAGTTATTAATTAAATTAGTTTTATTTTTGACAACTTTTGAAGGCCTGTAATAAAAAAACCAAAAAGTTTTTATTTAACTTTTTTTTCGTAGATCGTATTTTTTTATCGCCCTGAATATGCAGTCAGTTAAACGTTGTCGGTGAAATTTGCGGACACCTTGTATATTGTCTATTTGAAATGTAAGAATTATAAAGTTGTTAACGTGGAAGCTTTTTCATGTTTAAACGAATGGTGAAAACTAACTGCTTATGTTATTATATTTAGTTTTAGATTGATTTTTTCCAGAATACTAAAATCGTCAATTAAATAAAAAGCATTAAATAACACCGAAATAGTACGACTCAATATTTGTACATTAAAGCAGTAGAATTCAATGAAAAATTAGAAAATATAATATACAGGGAGATTCATTTGAAAAAGTAGGGACCACAGGAAATGTTATACTCTGTTTATAGTAATTCAAAATAATGTTCAAAAGTGAAGAAATTGACTTGGTGCAACTTTATATGAGACCATTTTTATTACATACAATACTTACTCGAACAGAGCTACACAATCATCCATCTTAAAAGTGAACACATGTAGGTACCTTACTATAAAAATTGATATATTTGTGTTTCAGACCACCCTAATAAGTAATAATCCACTTGAATTATTTAAAAAAAATCCTCCAATAAAAATGGGCGTAGTTCATAGTTGGCCATGGCTTTATGAATTATAAAAGTAAAGAAATAAATAAAATTTTCTTCGTAGTTTGGCAGCATGTCAATAAAAAAGTCATGGGGGGTCATATTTTCAGAATAATCACAAAAAAACAATTTAAAATTTTAACTTTCAACATCCTGTATTTCCGAAAGTATCAACTACACGTGAAGTGGTGCACACAAGTTTTTTTGAAACGTGAACGAAACATTCTGTATATACATATTAGTGATGTAACGAATATCCGCATTCGCATTCGCGAATATTCGTTTGATTTATGATATTCGCATTCGCAAATACCTTTGAATATTTTGCGAATATGAACGTGAAAGAAAAAATACAGAATGTATACAATATTAGCTTAAATTAAACAAAAATGTATTTATTTCTTTTCTTTTTAATTACAAAACACTTAAAACAATTACATCTTTCTATAATCAAAAAGTTGATTTACTCATCTTAAGAAATAACTAACACTCTAACCTCAAAATTCACAAACACAAACTCATCTGAGCCTGAGCGGTAGCGCCGGTAGCGAAAATAAAACAAAATTCCAATCATACCATTCATACCATACAAAAATACCGTTCTACCAACTTAACAACGCTAATTTCTTTAGCCTCTAGCGCCGCTGTCACCGGAATAGTATATTACGTAATAAGTGTTGTAAAAAGCATTTTACGCACGAATGGAAAAGTTACGCACGACGCCGCGTAGCGGCGAGTGCGTAATTCTATGAGTGCGTAATTGCATTACACCACGTATTACGTACTATACTTTACCTACGACCACTACTTTAAATACTTAAAAACACACCGTCTGCGATCAATGCAAGATTCCTATTACGTCGTACGGTAAAAAAATCGCACAGCTTGGTAAAAAAATCGTACAGTTTTCCTAGCAACCGCCTAGCAACGGTCAATACAAACAGTATTGTATTGACCGTTGCTAAGCGGTCGCTAGGAAAACTGCGATTTTTTTACCGTACGTAATAGGAATCTTACATTGATCGCAGACGGTGTGTTTTTAAGTATTTAGTGGTCGTAGGTAAATATTATTATGTGCGTCGCGCGCGGCATATTTTGAATCATAGATAAACGGCCCTAGATTTAAAAACTGAATATTCGTATTCGTATTCGCGAATGTCAACAACAGATGTTCGCATTCGCATTCGCGAATGCTTAAAAACTGGCATTCGTTACATCACTAATACATAAATACCGGGTGGGGCATTTATATTGAGACAAAATAATATCTCGGTTGGACTCGATTATTTCGAAACAAGTTTCAGACAAAAATTGTAGGGCACCGAGAGGGCCATTGAAAGTTCAATTCAAAACACCACTTCCGGTCTAGACCGGAAGTGGTGTTTTTAGACCGGAAGATTTTTTTTAATGGAAACGCCCATATTTTACTAAGGACTTCGATTGAAAAAAAAATAAAAATTTCATTTATTTTTTCGATTTAACTACGATTAACGATTTTCGCCATAAATGCCCATAAAAAACAAAAAAACTAGAATCTTGAGACAACGGAGTACCTTGTTGGGATCACTTTTTTTTTCAAAAATGTTTCATACAAAAATTGTAGGGTGAAAAAGGTGAATTAAATTATCATCATATATCATTCTATCATTCGTAAACAGTTAGTTTTAAAGCAAAAAAGTAATAGATGTGAAATTTTTAAAATAAACCACGCTATCTGATACATATTTTTGAATATATAATTTTTGTCAACCAAAAAGTTGTAGCCAAAAATAACTTGGGAGATGCTTATTTCAACCCCCTTTAAGGGGCAGAAATTTTTGAAGTTATTAAGAAGTTGCACATGCATTAGTAGAAAACTTGTTTAAAATTTGACTATTATGCCTTTTTTGATTTTCAAGTTCCTCCTAAAGGGTGAGGATTTTATTAAGGTCATTTTTATGCAAAACGTGTTCTTTTTAATTGTAAATTCACTGGTACCATTTGTGCTATTTTTTTTGGAAACACCTTGCAGATATACCCAAAATCCTTAATGTGATGATTACAAAATTGTTTATTGGTGTTTGATTTAAAAATGAAACTAGGAACAATAATATAAATGATTTAATTATTTAGTGTGAACATTATTTTTAGTTATGAAGTTGAATTTCTCACAGTAAATAAATATAAGGTATCTATAACAAATAAGGCCCGTCTAATTTAATCATTATTATCAAAATACGGGTTCACATTACAACTGAAAGTTGTTTAGAAAAATTCACAGAAAGTGGGCCTTATTGTCTCAACATTTCGTTATAGAGGTTACTGAAGAAAAGATACAGCAAACACTGTAAAATATGTTGAATTAAAAAAAAAACAAATAAAATTCAATTTTAAAAACTGCTAAAAATCAAATTTATTAAACGATGAAAAGCTATTTGTTTGCTGTAATCCAAGGATGTTTCATTACACCAGGCAGACTAAGTCTTGCTTCACTTCTATGTACCAGGAGCTGAAAAAATATAGGTAAGTAAATCATTAAATATTAATTATATTTTACAAGCAAAATAAAAATTTAAGAATATATACAAAATGTTTCCGTAAGTTTTGAAAATTAATCTTGATAATACTTCAGTAATTTTTCATAAACTAATGCAAACAATTAAAGGGTCAAATTATTTCCGAAATTTTTCCGTGATTTTTGACAGATTTAGATAAAAAATGGTCGTATCGGAATTAAAAAAAACGTTTTGAAGCTCTATGATTCTAGTTTTTAGAACTTTCTGTAGAAATTTTTTAGGAGCTACGGTTATCATGCAATTCTAAGAAATAGCGCAACAAAACAATTTTGCAAATTTTCTTTTTTTTTCAGTCCACAGGAAATTTTTTTTAGCAAAGCCATTGCATTGACCAGATAGCTTGTTTATTCAGATTCAATTTCCTTTCTTTTAAATTTCGATACGACCATTTTTCTTCGAAATACCGGACTTTTAATTGAAAAGGACCCTTTTCGAAAAGCTACTTCAACTTTTGGAAAAAAATTTTTTTTTTCATCTTTTACACAAATTTTAAAAAACAGCCCTAGTGGCTAAACGAAGCAAATTAGGTAAATAGAGGTAGGTTTAGTTAAATGTGCTCATTTTGATTGCAGGAAATTGTGGTAGCTCCAAGTGCATGGAATATTGTAACACCCTTTGTATAGAGGGAATTGTTTCTCTTTTTAGTTACAGAATAAATTAATATAGAAGTATACAGTAGGTACATCAAGACAGCGAAGAATTTTCAAAAACGATAATCGAGAAATTTTCGTTTTTTTTCGAAAATTGAAAAAAAAAAACAGTGAAGATAGGTCCATATAATTTTGATCTATTTTTTTTTCAAAAAGTACATTTAAAAACAAAAATTTTGAAAAAAAAACGTCCTGATGACTCAATTTTTGAAAAAGTTATGGTTATTTAAAAAAAGAAGCAATTTTTTTCAAAAATTCATCTTTTTTTGAGTTGGGTGAAAACATTTAAAAAAATTCTCAGAGGTTTTCAATAGCGTAGAAAACAATAAAAAAGTTTCAGCCAAATCGAAAGGGGTCAGGGTTAAAAGGGGTCTATCTAGCGTGGAATGCCCTTATAGTAATAACATGGTTCATACATAGTTCAAAAGTAATAAATAATTCCATGACTTTTCCAGGTTTTCCCTGACATAAAAAAAAAACAGGTCAGTTGTAGTTCATTTTTACATACTAATTGGTGTTTATGCAGAAATTTTTTTCTCGACTGGACTCCATAATCTTTTTTATACCCTAACAACCTCTTATAAAGGTTCCAAAATCAAAAATAGTTTTCTCTTTCAAGAACCCAGGGCCGGTTTTCACAAAATCTCCAGTTGCAAACATCAAATTCCCAGACTTTCATGAATATTTTTAAAATTCCCCGACTATTCCCTGTTTTTTATGAAGAATAACAAATTCCCTGACTTTTCCCAGTATTCCCGACTGCTACGAACCCTGAATAGTATTCTGTGATTAATCATATTGTTATTTTCAAGATTGTTTCTATAAAAATTAGTCACTTTTAAACACACAACCGGATTCATGAAAGAGGCGTAAGGCGTTAGTCGGACTAAGAAATTTTGCGACCGTGTAAACCTATTCACAAAAAAATGCGCTATCCTTGCGCTAATAGTTACGCCAAGATTTAGACCTACATAACATGCATAAAAATCTTGTCTTGTGATTCAACTATTATTAAGCACTGGGATTACTTATAAAAAAATAAAATGCAATAAACTTAATAAACTGCAACTTAAGTTGCATGATTTTTATGCATGTTATGTAGGTCTAAGTTTTGGCATAACTATTAGTGCAAGGATAGCACATTTTTTTGTGAATAGGTTTACACAGGCACAAAATTCCTTAGTCGGACTAACGCCTTACGCCTCTTTCATGAATCCTGTTGTTAAACTCAAAAAAATGTCATTTTGAAATTAAAATAACAATTGATGTCACTATTACATTAGAAAAAATCTTCTACAATAATTTTTAATTATACTACTTAACAACGATCATAAATTGTCTTATAAAAATATTAAATACCTTTGAAATGAGATCCTTGGCACCAACAGACATGTATTCAGGAAATACAACATCCACACATCTAATTTTCTTATAAGTTTCTTCAGAACTTTTACTTTCAAACGGAGGGTTGCCAGTTAGAAATTCAAAACATAATACACCTGCAAATTAGTTTACATTAAAATGGAAATAACCTACATACAGAACCAATTAAATGTAAAAGGATGTCTACTCATACTCCATAAATGCATTTTGACTACCTAAGCACCAATGATCCACATAATGTTTATAGTCGCGTCCCTCAACCATTTCAGGTGGTAAGTAATCCAAAGTTCCACACATTGTATTTCGATTCAACGATGGTGCATGCACAGACCATCCGAAATCAGCCAACTTTATGTCACCCGTTATAGTTAGCAATAAATTTTCCGGCTTGATATCTCTGTGGATAACTTCATTCTGATGGCAATAATTCAAAGCATCTGCTACTTGATAAACATATTTGGCCGATCTAAAATAGTTTCTTTATGACACATTTGTACACCTCTAAATACAGTAATCTTACAAATGTTCGTTAAAACAACCTCCAGGACTAGACTTCAGATGCTTATACAATTCACCTTTACCAGCATATTCCAATATTAAATATATTCGATGAGAGTCATGAAACCATGCAAGAAGTTGTAATATATTTGGATGTCTAAAATAAATTTATGAAAATTATGCTTTAAATTATTAAATATGTACTTACTTTAAATGACTTTGGATTTCAATTTCTCTTAACGTTTGCCTTTCTACACGTCCCTTCACGATTTCCTTTTTAAACAGGGTTTTCAATGCAACAATAAATCCAGTCTGCCTTTCACGAGCCAAATATACTCTTCCAAATTTACCTCGGCCTAATCGTTTACCCAACTCAAAATCGTCTAATGACCATTTGTATCTAAAAGAAATTAATTTAATATTTTTTATTTACGTTTCATTAATTTTAACTAACTCTGGATTACCAAAACATTCGTGGGAAATCATGTTTTGAACCAGAGATTTTGTTCTTTGTTCCAATCCCCTTGGTACCGTTATTTTCGTCAAGTGAGCTTCAGCTAATTCCTCGGCTTTTTTCTGCTTTTGAGCCATTTTGTAGATTAATACACGATTAATACTAATACTCACATAACACAACACAACTTTTTAGGAAAACCGTTAGCTATTTAAAATCTTTTAAAAACTGGAAATGTCAAATTTAGTATTTTCAGAACAGCCAACATTCGGATTAAAAAGAAATTCTTTAGTGTAGCAGGGTTGCCATAATTGTTTAACATATTATTATTTGGCTTCTACAGGCAACCAAATATACAATAGTTATACAATACAATGTATTGGTATTTATGTATGTATGTTATTTATACGTCGTATAGGTATACGAGTATATAGCTTTGTTCCTAGTGCATTAAAAATCAGTTTCCAGTATGTCAGAACAGAAACAATCGCATTTGATTTGAATCAATGAATTTTGAACCTTATATCGGAAACGGATACGTCAAACTTTTGAAATTTTGTTAAACTGGGGCAAAGCAAATTTTCAAAACGATTGTTTTTCAGCAATTATCATCAATTCATTTTATTTTAAATACAATATCATTAGTATTAATATTCAATTTTAATAATTAAGGATGCTATGTTTTTTTTTAAATATTGAAGTTGGCTATTTGTAATTTTTTAACAACTTTGTACAAATATTTAAACTTATTGAAGGTGACGTTGTGTACAAAGGTCGTTATATCTAAAATGCCATTAAAACAAATTTTGATACAGTTACGGAGGATTTCCTTTCACTAGTTTTGTAGTGTACTTTTTGAGATGTTCCTCGAATGTGGTATCAGAATACTCTCGATTTGGTTTGGTGCATCAGAAACAGTTCCAATAGTCAAAAGCATGTGCATTTGATTTGAATAAATGAAATTTAATCCTTAAGTAGTATGCGATCTGTTGGAAACTGTTTTGGATTGCTTTAGGACCAAAGCTTTTTATCTTTCATCCCTATTTCATTGCCTTTGTGTGCACTGTCAGAGGAAGAGCAACTGTATAGATCATATCGACTTGGTATCAAATAGGTCCGTTGTCAGTCCTCGGTTGTTGCCCCATGTTTGGCGCTCTGACGCACATTTTGCTCAGTTCCGCCAGCTCTTGGTGGCGATGACCTATTTGCTTCTCTTCTAAGCATCATGAGCGAGTCGTAGACCCTCACAATGAGATTTCACCTTCGGTACTAGATCGTCAGACGCATACTCGCTCGTGAAGCGGTTACCCGGTACCTCATGTGATTCTTAACGTGAGACTTTGAGGTCTCCAATGAGGGAAAATAAAATGTACGATCCTTTGCCATTGTGGCTCTAGATATGCTCAGGTGGAAAGTATACGATCTAATTGAATGACTGGTGTGACCTAAAAGATCGCGGAAGCACTGGCACTTGCTTTTTCCAAATTTGGGCAATTTGGAAATATCTTTTTTATTACTTCTTAGCGATGTCAGAGACGATGAGCGGTTGTTTGCGTGCTTGCCTACATCGATGTAGTGGTCTCGCTCCGGAGTGATTGCATGTCGATCGTGCCATCTGCAGAGCTTTGCGTGAAATTCTCAAAAGATCCGTGATTTTTTCAATTACAAATTCTCTTTTCTCTACCTGCTGTGGCTGAAATCACGTCATTAATGCTTATTTTGACTGGATTGCTGGGGGTATCGGAAACATGGGCAAATTTGATTCACCTGATATACATCCATGCCGACGATCTAAAACACTCATTCGACATGCTTTTAGACCTTGTAAATCGCTGTATTGAGCCGGAAGAGGACTGTTTTGAATAGAATAAATCAGTTTTGCCATAAATACTTTTTGTTCTTATTTTTAAAAAGTCCTGTTTCATTTGGACGCATCTGGTATAACTTTGAGGCCTGATAGTCCCTCATTTTTTTCAAATCATTGTACCTTAGCACAGGTGCTATATTTGTAGTTAGGTATACTGAATTTTTGTAATGCGAAAAAATCTGCAAATACTATATTGTTTTGCGAATTCCCAAGAAAATTCCAGTTGGCATTAAGAAGTGAATCCCTTAATTTTAAAATATTATTTTATTGAACACTCATTTGCAAAACTTATTGTTGTTATTCAATTTGGCAAAGTTTTTTAAGAACATTATTTGTGCTCGATCATCAACTATTAATGGCTCTACAACAAATGTTTCATAGTTTCAGTTTGTTTCAGTAAAGTTTCCTGTAAGCTGCACGGTGCGTGGCTGCGCAGTAATTTTTCGATAGTTGCACAGTAGTTTTTGGTATTCTGAGCATATTTTTTTTAAATTTCATTTTATAAAAGAATTGCATCTAAAAATGGCAAAAATTCTTTTACTAAAAAAAAAGTAAAATTTAAAGGGTCAAAAAAATGTTTGCTCCCATATACTATATTATCACGCAGTCAGCGAAAAAATTAGAATATTATATATTATATATTACAAATTACTTCAGCTACTTCACTATTTTCAATAACTGTATGAATTACGAATATTCATTTGACGCAGTTAGGCGGTACAGAGAAATGTTTCCTACATGAAGAACACCGAGTCAGCAAATGTTTGATAATATCGATAGAAGATTAAGAGAAACGGGTAAATTAGAAGCAACAAAAATTAATTCTGGACGACAGCTTTATGCTAGAACTTCGGAATCTGAGGAAATGGTCCTGACAGCAATAGAAAATGATAATGTTAAGTACCCAACAAATTTCTAGAAATTTAAATATATCACTCATTTGTTTGGAGAACACTTCGCGAACCACAATTGCACCCTTATCACTTTCAATGTGTTCAACATTTACTACCTCAAGATTACCCACCAAGGCTAGAGTGGTTAGGATGGCTGCTTGGCAGGCACCCTATCTCTACGACACTGTTGCTCATAAAATTTTGAGCAGTACATCAAACGTTGGTCTTAGGCACGCATAGAAAATTTGAAATAGAAATTTTCAAGCATTTTGGAATTATTGCAGACAATGTTTAATTTTACAAAAACTTTGACGCCCTGTATCTCGTTAAGGAGGCATTTGCTACCATATGTTTATTAAGACTTCGTCTTAATTTTTCATATATTACCTACCCTAGAAGTCTGTCAGCGGTTTTTTGAATCACCCTGTGTATAGCTGTGTACATGATTTATTGTAACAGAGACAGAATATGGAAAATTGTAACTTAATTAAAAAAAAAACAGTATTCTATGAACCGTATATGTTTATTTTCATGTTTCATGAATGATACAATCTAATTCTAGTAATACTTAGGAAGGGGCAACAATAAAATATTGCACAATTTTAATAAATAAAAGTAATGAGTATAAATAAACAAAAATAGTATACCAAATGAAATTTTACATTGTACGTTATGTTTTACATAAGCAAAAATTAAAAAATATATGTATATATCAATTAGATTTAATTAAATCTTTCTATTATTACCAAACTTCCACAACGACTTTTAAGAGAATATCCTGTGAAAGCTGGGTAGTATAATTAACAGTAAAATAAATCACAGTCAAAAGTATTACCCTTAATTAATTATGTACAAAAATATTTTGGAATCTTATAAAAGAAGTACACAAAAACAAAATGGTTTAAGCAAATTCAGCTCTTTCGTTTATGGGCCGTTAAATAGTTTTAAATGATGTTTGATTATATAAATACCTCCCTATGGTTAATGTTTTCTACGTTTTACCCTTTAGCCTGCAAAAAATTTATAAGAAATATGAACCGTTTCTTATAGAAACTTTTATCTAATTTCTATAAGTTGCATACGCATCCTCAAAAATAGTCCAACCTTGAAAGTACATTAGAAAAATATGAATATAATCTTTAGACTAGGAGAGGAGGAACGTTAATTTGTAAATAAAAATGCAAGCATAAAACTTTCCATGAAATCATAATATTTTGTATGAATTATTAAATCGTGTATGTTTTTTACATTATGTCTTCATAAATGTTTACAAGCCATTTGACAGCCGAGCTTAGGCAACCAACAATGCAGAGTTGGTTGCCAATATTAATGATTTCTTCACAAAAAACAACGTCCAACCGTTACATCTACGCTCGAGATAATGCTGATTGGTTGAATAGGATCTCGTAAAAAATTACAACAATCACCAGCCAGTGAAACAGAATGTTGCGTTTTAATGTGGTCTTGATCATATTGTTTTAATTTTACCAAAATTTAATTGCCAGCGTGAAGGAAATAAAATTACTAGAGATGTGCCGTGGACATGTTAGCTGGACATGTCCATAGGACATGTGAAAAGTGGACATGTCCTGAGGACACTTCAAGGTTTAAAAGTTGTATGCGCATGCGCGGAATTATTTGTTGCATTCATAATTCCCCCAAAAAATTTTCGAGGTTGGTACATAGAAAATTAAAGATATTTAGCCATTTTCTTATCATTTTGTTGGTAAGTAACTGTTTAACTGAAACTAACATTTTAAAAATATAACCTCTTTTGTATGTCCATATTTTATTATTTTTGGCAAAGTTAACGATTAGTAAATAGTAATCAGCTGATTCTTAATTTAATATTTAATACACAAATAGTTTATAAATGAAGTATGACGCCAAAATCAACAGTTTGGTAATATTTTTCTGAATTGAGTAAAAATCACAATAAATGTAACTTCTGCTCAAAAACAATTTTTAAGAATTCCAGTAGGATGGAAAAACATTTAAGTAAGTGTATTGGCTGTCCGGAAAAAATTAGAAATCAGTTTATAAAAAGTCTAAAGGTTACCTACCTTTAAGGTAAGTTAAATATATATCGACACATTATTCATTAGAATAAAAGTAATACTTTGCTTTATGTACCCTCAAGCAGTGACCTGTGAAAACATGACGTCACTAATAGGTGCCTTATTAGATTCAAGGTCAAAAGTACTTTTCCCGACACGCCCGGACATTTCATCGACATGTCCAACAGACATGTCCGTAACACACTTTTCCGAAAAATGCCCATCTCTGAAAATTACTGATCATGTGGCTTGTAATCATTTATGAAGGCTCTGTATACTGCTTGTTTGGGCCATCTATTTGTTTCATATCTTAATAAATTACCATTTTTAGGTAATACAAATTAAAACTTTTAACAATATGTGATAAATTGTTATATTAGTTGAATTTGATGATGTATCAAATCTTACGGTAAGCGCTTCTTTTCAAGGATAAGATTTATATTTGCATGACAAAAATATTATTTTATGAAAACTAATAAAGGCAAAATCGTATCATAATGCACCTATATTCTATAAAAAATTCATTTACAAAAATATTTTTTGTCTCGGAGTGCCAGTAAAATTATTCTGGAAATACTTATGTCTGTTTCAGGCATAGTTTACATCATTTTACTGTATTTGAGATGCAGGAAGTTTCAGCATCTTCCTGAATATCAGTACATTGTAATATGATATTAAGGTGGTGTGCAAAAATAATATGTAATTACATAACAGAAACTCATGTCAGAATTTTTCAGATTACTACACGATCACTTTGATTTCATATTGCATTCAATTCAATTGTGGACATTTGATTGAAGTTTGTTTCCCTTACAATTAAAAAAATCATCAATTTTGCTTATGTTTATTGAATAAGTTGAAAATTCCTCATTTTTATTTCATTTTCAATGAATGTACTTCTTTCATAAAGTAATAAGCCTACCATAATAAAATAATTATCACGATGGAGTGGAAGCAGGCATTCTATTGCGGCTGTTAGCCCGCCTCGGTATCGAAGATGAATTAATGCTGTAGCGCTGTGGTGAGGGGGGTTCCCCGGGCTGCCGCCACAGTCGCGAGGGCGTCCTTTTTGAAGCGGGAGGATCAGATTGAACTGGCTGGCGGGATTTGCGAGGTGTTGGAGTTTCACTCGCACTGAAACAACAAATGCATTTTATGTAATTTTTATAAGCAAACGTCATTTTTGACACACAAACAATTTATTTTTAAATACCACTTAAGAATTTCTATGATCGTTACTATTTGTGAACATAGTTGTCCTCAGGTACCGCCCATTCTCAAAAATTTTCTATTTGAATTCATTATGCTCAAAGGAATTTAGAAAAAGACCTACTTAGCATTTGTCTGTCTTCCTATTTAAAAGGTTTAAAATAGTTGTTAGAGTGAATAATATTACCCTACAATTTATACTAAAAAAGTTATATTCAGGTCCAACTTTCATTGATTAAATTGTATGTAAAGAAAAAATAATAACTTGGGTAACCACCTTGGACTTAAAAATTTTCTTCAACTTGGTTCATAAAGTACAAAGAATGCTAAAATGTCACGTTTCAAGCCTCATCAATGATAAAAGGAAGGTCATACAAAAAGCCACAACATCTATTAGTATCTTACCCGAAATTGCTGAAATGCAGCATGAAAAATATAAAGAAAAACTATTACAAGTACTGGATTTACAGACACTTCACATAATTGTTATTTATTAAAACGAAAAGGCACTTCCATGGCACTTAATAAAAAAAGAATATTTTTTAAAATTGAAAGTACCTACTACGAATTTTTTAATTTAGCACATACATATACAGTGTGTCAGATTTGATCCAGAACACCAGTGTAGAACTTTACAGGGAAGGGCGATTTTAATGCCAATTTTTTTCAGAGAAGGGAGTGCATAGACACACATATGGGACATATTACTAAGGAGATAATGTTATCTCATGGCATGCTATGACTTTTTTAATAATGATGTTTTTGAAAAATCGTATTAGGGACTTTTTTATTAGAAATCTGACAAATTTGACTGTGATATTCAGCACCATTTAAAATCCAAATACTCAAAATTTCATTAATTTATGTCGTTGCATGTTTTTTTTATAGAGCCTCAAAGTCCCAAAAACTGAAAATTTTTATGTTAGTTTGAAAATATAGGAGGCTTTTAGAAATGAGTAAAAACAGTAAAATAGAATTTAAAAAGGTTGAAATATCATGTTAAGAAAAAAAAACAATATGAGTACTATTAATACATTTGAAAATTTGGTAATTTCTCTAAAGACATAAGTTTTATAACTCGGAAAGAAATTAATTTTTTCTTGTTTCATCAGGGTTGCTGTAAAAAATAAATAATATTGTGAAATGTCAAATCATGACATCTGTTAGAACCATAGATCTAATATAGTATACTATGGATGGAATGTAGTATACTATGAATGGAATGTAAAGTGGGATGAAACTACTCTAGGGTCACGTGACTTATCACGGGCGATTTGTTATATACATTACGTGGTATTGTGTTATTACGAATTTGACACATAAATATTGTCGTGATACTATAAAAAAAATAATAATTTCCTAATCAGAAATAGAGTTGCTTTTTAAATCAATGTAGCGCGATTTTATCCTAGGTGACGTGACTTAGGGCAAATCCCAGCCGTTTTCGCTGTTCATGTTGGAACAGCTAAAATGTGCAAAATGTGGGCTTTGACTCCATCCATATACTACTAAATCTATGATTAGAACGCTTTAATTACGGCTTTGTTTTGTGAGAAATATTTTGTATTAACGAAAAAGTGCAAATAATTTGACTAACAGGCAGAAATGATTGAAATTAGAGTAGTTAGAATTTTTAATGCTGAACATCCAAACCGACGAATATAAATTTCTACTGTATCACGAATAAATCGTATGTTTGATCTCAGTGGTAAATGTAAGTTCTAATTTGTAGTATTTTTTAACCAGTTCAAATTTTCTTTACGTAATATTTCATCTATGGTAAAAAGTGGTTCAGGACATCGAGCAAATGAAAGGGGGACACTATAATTGAATATTTTCGAAATAATCCTACAAATAGTTTATCTGATGCAGTTCGAGATTTACCCAATGACAGTTTGGAATCATTTAAAGAAAAGAAATATTAGGCTATTTAAATACAAATACCTGCACACGTTATAAGCAGGTGATGCAGAGAGGAGGTTCGAGTTCTGTCTCTGGGCACAAGATCCAAAGTTTTTAAAAAACATCATTTACACGGACAAAGCTACATTTTCTACTAACGGGATAGTAAGTTCACAAAATACTCGTTAATGGTCGTCTGAAAACCCCCATTATGTAATTAACTGCAAGTGTCAGTACTCACAGAAAATTATTGTTTTTTGTGGCATTTCTGGTCAAAGATTATACGGCCCATTCTTTTTCCATGGAAATTTAAATGGAAATATTTTTCACATATTTTTGCGAACTGAATTTTATGATTCATTTGATGATGATCCTTTGCTTGAACGTGCCCCTATCCACTGCACCAGACCTGTGATAGAAAGGCTTCAAACACACTTTCCTAACAGATGGATAGGTAGATGCTTTAATTTAATTAACTGGCCACCAAGAACACCTGACCTTACAACAGCAGATTTTTTTCTATGGGGACATTTGAAAAACATTGTGTATAAGAGTCGATCATGTAATCTTCAAGAACTGTGCTTGAATTACGGAAGCTTGTAATCAGATTAACGAAGAAACGTTGTTAAATGTATCTAAACAAAATAAAAAAGAATTGAAAAATGTATAGAACTACATGGTGGTTTAGCTGAAAAAGGAAATATTTGAATTTTTAATAGCATAATTTTGAATTTGAATACTTATTTAGATATTTTGGTGTTTCTTTCCAATTTTGTTTTCCTTGACTCGTATTAATTTGTGCAAGCACTGTTAACTTGTTAATGGTAGTTTGTATTGTTTTTTCTTTCTTAACATAATATTTCAACCCTTTTAAATTGAATTTTATTGTTTTTACTCATTTCTAAAGGCCCCCTATATTTTCAAATTAAAATAATAATTTTCAGTGTTTGGGACTTTGAGGCTCTATAAAAATAACATGCAACGACATAAATTAATTAAATTTTGGGTATGTATTTGGATTTTAAATGAAGCTGAATAACGTAGTGTGTTGTCAAATTTCTAATAAAAAAATCCCTAGTATGTTTTTCCAAAAACATCGTTATCAAAAAAATCATAGTAAGCCACGAGATAACATTATCTCCTTAGCAATATGTCCCATACGTGTGTCTATGAACTCTTTACTCTGAAAAAAATTGACATTAAAATCATCCCACCCTTTAAAATTCTACACTGGTTTTCGGGATCAAATATGTACACACTATATCCACTCACTCAAATATTTTAGTTTAATATATTTATTGTCACGTTAGGTTGACTAAATTTACATTATTACTACTACTACAATTTAGTGGAAATTTATAAATTATGTTTTGTTAATAAAATCTTCTACAACTCTACATAATACTTGACATTCAAAAGATGTGGCTTTCAAGGTATATAAAATTTATGTTAAACATCTAATATTTTTTTTTATTTAACTACTTGAATGAGTGGAAATTTTGGAAATAAGTAGGTGTACACTATTATGGTTATTTGAGGTAGAAATACAGGGTGTCCCACAACGAACTCCATCGATGGATATCTGGGAAACCACTCAAAGGATTTTTTGAAATTGTGAAGGTGTGATACAGACCGTGGGGCCTACCAAGCTAAAATATTTTCAAGGTCATCGTACTTCCGGTTATAGCGGAAGTAACATTCTTATTTTAAATGGAACCCTCTGTATATTATTGCATTTTTGAAAAGAGCATCTATTTCTAAGTTGAAAACATATAACACACTCCACACTTAGGATTGACCGTTTCCGAGATATTTTGATTTTTAAGCAAAAATTGACAGATGCAGATTGTCAGCAAAATTTAGTATTCCCAGAAACACAGGTTTATTTATTTGTGCAAATTGGACATTTTCTAGAGGGAGACCTAATTTATCGAATTTGACATGAAAAGTGTTTATACAGGGTGGTCAAAATTTTTTTATAGACAAGTTCAGAAAATGTGGAAAACTCGAAATTTTTAAATGGAAATCCCAAATTTTTTTAACGCATTCGCATTCTGCACTAAAATTAAGTGTAACTTTGTTAAAGTTTCCCTATACCTAAACCCAGTGGTTTTCATTTTAATTACGAATAAACATTTCCCTTTTCTTAATATGAATTTTCCATTTGTTTCGCACATTTTAGGTTGGCCGTGACAGGTAAGTAACAATCAACATGATAACTGTCACAGGTTTTTATTTGTCAAATTTATTTAGTTCCTTGTGGGTCGCTGCTCTAATAGAATCCGGTGATATATGCTATTTTATGTGGGACACTAAAAAATAGTATGTATAATACTCCAGTAACAACAAAGGAAAATTGTATGCATAGAGTAAGGTAAGCATTTGAGCATCTATCACCAGATTCTATTAGAACAGCGACCCACAAGGAACTAATTTGAAGGTGTGAAAAATGTTTAGAAGTTGAGAAGTTGAAGGAAGACATTTTGAACATTTATTAAAATAATTTTGACAATTAAAAACCTGTGACACTTGTCATGTTGATTGTTACTTACCTGTCACGGCAAACCTGAAATGTGTAAAACAAATGGATACATCATAAGAAAAGGGAAATGTTTATTTGTAAATAAAATGAAAACCACTGGGGTTAGCTATAGAGAAACTTTAACAAAGTTACATTTAATTTTAGTGCAGAATGCGAATACGTTAAAAAAAAATTAGGGGTTACCATTTAAAAATTTCGAGTTTTTCACATTTTCTGAACTTCATATTCGATAATTTTTTTTGACCACCTTGTATAAAAACTAAAATTTTTGTCAAATTCGATAAATTAGGTCTTCTTCTATAACATGTCCAATTTGCACAAAAAATAAACCTATGTTTATGGGAAAACTAAATTTTGCTGACAGTGCATCTGTCAATTTTTGCCTAAAAATCAAAATATTTTGGTAAAGGTCAATCCTAAGTATGGAGTGTGTTATATGTTTTCAACTTAAAAATAGATGCTCTTTCCAAAAATGCAATAATATACAGGGGGTTCCATTTAAAATAAAAAAGTTAGTAAGTAGGATGACCTTGAAAATATTTTAGTTTAGTAGGCCCCACGATCTGTATCACACCATCACAATTTCAAAAAAATCCTTCGAGCGGTTTCCCAGATATCCATCGATGGAGTTCGTGGTGGGACACCCTGTATTGTAGAGTAGGTAACTATTTCTGATAAATGATAATAAATTTCTATCGACCATGTATACTAGTTATATATGACTATAGATATATTAGGATTAAAATTATTCATTTGGAAATGTCACAAGTAAATAAACAAGTTTTTGTAAAATACAGTCCTTAAGTTAATGTAACCATAAAATCATTGCCTGTGACATACTTTAATTAAAAAATTTAACAAAGCACTTCTTGCTATAATCTATAATTAAGTAAAACTATAACAATTATAAAATTAAATAGTATAGCACCGTTAAACAACTTGTTAAATCATTTTGATATCTCTTGAAGGTCCACCAAACAAAAGCAGAACTAAATTCTAGGCACTTAATTATATAAGCATCATATGTACTTTTAACCATAAAATCTCACATTATCCCTTATAAAAAAAGCTCTCATTTAATGGCAACATCAAAAAGTTCTTTATATCACCGACATAATTTGACATTCAAAATGGGTCTGTCAAATTCAAGCAGTACGAGGAACAAGAATAAATCAGATTCACGAAGCATAAGAGGTTAATAGCACATAAAATAATCACACCAAACAGTAGATCAGCTAACACTACCTTCCCAATCCTAAAGCTGTAATCCCAGCCAATGAACGCAATTATAAGGAGCAGCATAAAGAAAACATTACAGAATTAAAGTGTTAATATTGTTAGTGGGTTAACATAGCCATAAAAGTGAAGGATATTGTTAGTAGTAAAACATTGCTTAGTAAGTAATTGAATTTTGATAATTTTTCCTTGTACAAATAATTTCTCCATTGTAGTTATCTTGTTCATTTGGAGTGAATGAGGAAATTAAAAAAAATACATCAGTTTAGTACTTTTTAAGCGTAATCACGTATATGGCAATTCATCTATTTTTAAATTAAATATCACCATATAAGAAAAAAGGTCGAATAACGTTTTTCTCATTTATGTTTTTTTTTTCTGAGAAAATAATGAAATTTGTGTTAAAAGAAGTAAATTATTATTGACGTAATTTTAATTTTTTTCCATCTCTTCAAATAAGCAAGATAATGAGTACAGGAGTTATTTGGTTTACCCTGTAAATACTACATACAAAATTATATTTTACTGTGAATTTAAAGTACCTATCAATTTATGCTTCACTTTCGGAAATAACAAGTTTCACTATAAAAAATGATGTGGTCACTAGTGTAGGTTCAAAGTGGTGTGATAATGGAGAAGTGCAAAATTTCTTTTTACCTGACTAGAGACCCAGCACTCCCATCAACCGATGAACCGTTTAACAGGGAGGGACCCGCCGAAATTGGTCGAATCTTTAAAAATAAAATTTCTAAATAAGTGCAAAAAACAAGAGCAAGAACCAAGCAACCCAAATCCAAGTAACAAAAAAAAAACTCATGAGAATTTCATGCAGTTTTAAATCAGTTAAATATGAAATTTTAGAAATATCCTATTCATATACTCAAATAACAAAAATCCACATACCCTTTCAGTTTGTGTAGCTGCGTTGCACATTTGGCTTTCATGAGATATAGTAGAAGCTGGTGCAGAATTTGAATGATAGTTATCATTGGCCAATTTAATCATCTGTTCTTGGAGAGACTGTACGGTCTTCTCCTTGTCTTCTAGTTGCCCTTGAAGGAACAGCACCTGCCGCCTTAATTCGGCAAGTTCCAGCCTTGCCTCGCTCTCGTTGTCATCGTTTTGCGTGGCCTCCGTGTCCGAGGGGCAGAGACTATTGAAGAGCCCATTCGTCAGAGCAGCCTGACTTTCGAATGGGTTGTGAGTTTCCGACTGGAATGGAAGAAATATTAGTGAAAAACTAGCTAAATAACAAGGAATTTTAAAGACTAAAGTGGAAGTAGGAAAATTAAATAAATAATAAGAATAATAATAACTTACCCTCATCAATATTTCTTCGTCTGTCTGCTGAATGATAATGAACAGAACATGCAAAAAGGAAATAAAACAAATGAACAAACAAAGCAAATGTAAAAGTATACGGAAATTAAAAATATATTTGCATGCAACATTTAAGAAAATAACTATGTATATACATTACATACACTGAAAACATAAATAATTCTTATGTATTTATAATAATTATTAGATCTGAGAGAAAAAACTTAATAGAAATGGGATAAAATATTATATGTTATATGTTTTAATCAATAATTATTTGTGTGTAGTTAAATTATTAATAATCAAAATTTTGAAAAATTTACGTTGTGCGTCTCCTGTGTGCGCTGTGCGTCACGTCAGTATATTTGGTATGAAAATATATAAATGCTGTTTCCAACACATGCTAGGTTCAACATCGACATTTGCATCTACTTATTTTCAATAGATTTTCCATGTAGTTTCCTACCAAATACCGAGACCAACGACTAAAACTTATTTATATCAATATACATAAACAAATCCAAACAACAGAACAATTTGCCAATGCTAGAAGCTGAAGTAATAGAAAATAAAACTGATCGTCATCCGAATTTTATTTTGTTTACACAAATTCTTCTAATACAGTTACATCCATTGCTGTTAGAAGATACAATTAAATATGATTAATAAAATTATGTTATTGTTATGACAGTAGTTTCAATTAAAGCAAAAAGATGTACTACCTATATTTTTTGTATTACATAATTTTATTTGATAACGTTAAGACATTAAAAAGTTAGGTAGGATGGAAGATTGTTAATAAAAATAAATAAAATAATTCTAAATACAAATCTTTAGTGATATATGATTTGATTTTATATCATTTAACTTTAATTTCTCTATTGACTGGTATTTGGTTTATATTCGAAAGAGATAAAATAAGAGTAATGTTACTTCCTAAACGATTCGTAAAAGCACAACAATGCATTGGATACATTGGATATGAAGCACAATTAACTCAAGAACAGTTGAATATACAAATTTGGAACTTAGGACAAATAAGATCCATTTCTTATTTGTGGAAGGGCGAAATGGGCGTTGACTATTAGACGCCTTCATTATAGCCATCCTTGTCTATCACATGGATTTCTATGGCTTACTTTATCGCTCTCACGTAACTTCTGATAGACCATCGGTACTTTCCTACAGTGTATGTAGGTACATACGTAAAATTGAAGAAACTTATCCAGTCTCGTAGGAACCAATCGATTCAATTAAAAAATATTTTCTTTTTTAAACTTGGACAGACTATATGCAACAAAAATTTTGAATATGTTATCTTTATTGTCTTCACCAGATCTATAAAAATGCTTGAAAATTAAATGACCTAAGAAAAGGCAGTCCCTATGCATGACGATGTTGTTATATTTAGTTCAGAAATTTCCCATTTAATTAGGAAGTATGTCATTTATTTATTTTATACAGGGTGTCCGCAAATTTTACCGACAACGTTTGACTGCATACTCACGACGATAAATAAAAACGATCTACGAAAAAAAAGTTAGTTAAAAACTTTTTGGTTTTGAGTTATAGGCCTCGAAAGTTGTCAAAAATAAAACTAATTTAATTAATAACTGCATAACGTTTGACTGCATATTCACGACGATAAATAAAAACGATCTACGGAAAAAAGTTAGTTAAAAACTTTTTGGTTTTGAGTTATAGGCCTCGAAAGTTGTCAAAAATAAAACTAATTTAATTAATAACTTCATAACCCTTTTACCGATCGCGTTAAAATTTGGCACATTTATTTGGACTATTATGGTGTATTATTTCTTAAAGGTTTAGTTAAATCGATGAAGTTGCTTTTTTAGTTTTGTAAACATTAGTTTTACATACATTTAATTGTCTTGATACACTGCGGACACTTGATAATTTGCATGTGTGGAGTGATGAGAATCGTAAAGAAACGCGACACAATAATGACATTACCTGATAGCCACGGTAATCAACATCTGGTTTGTTTACTGAACTAAAAGTTTTAAATCCGTGACACTACTACTAGCAAACCCAAAATACCGATCTGCAAATAATGCCATTTTTCTCAAGAATGGCTTTTTGAAGATGATTTTCTCAAGAGACATTTTTTTTTATAAATAAAACGTCCTTTTCAATGTTGCTGCCCGTTTAAAAAAAAATACAACGACTGTAAAAGTTTTGACCTCTAAAAAGGAGAAAACTACCACCCAGTATATCGATTTGACTAAAGCTTTAAGAAGTAATACGCCATAATAGGTCAAATAAATGTGCCGCGATCGGCAAAAGGGTTATAAAGTTATTAATTAAACTAGTTTTATTTTTGACAACTTTGAAGGCTTGTAACTCAAAAAAACAAAATTTTGTATTTATCGTCCTGAATATGCAGTCAAACGTTGTCGGTGAAATTTGCGGACACCCTGTATATGAAATAAATAAACTGGCTTTTACAAAAAAAAAAGTTTCGTATTTCTTTACCCTTTAAAGAATAATAGGTCTCTTAGAATTCTTTTAGGGAATATGTTTTCATTTTAGTTTATTTTGATGAGACAAACAATTCCTTCAAGAGAAACAGTTTTAAAATAAAAATAAACAACAAAATCGGTTTCTTCTTCATAACTGTGAGTCTAACACCTAATCTTTTGTTTAAAAAAAAAGCAAAAGTAATTATGGAAAATTATGATTTCTAGGTTTAGTTTTTATTCACTATTCTCAAAAATCGGTTTATATAGGGTGTTTCACTAGGAATAATAAAGCACAGTCTCATTCAATGAAATGCCCTGATTGCCCTGTGTGAATTCCTTCAACATGCACGTTCTTAATAAAGATAAACGTTCCTTACCTCATTTAGAACTCTTCTAAGTTTCAACAGCATCGTCTTGATGCTAATGATGTCCTGCTTCATCGCCGTGTGGTTGGCCCTGTCCAGCCGGATGGAATCGTCAGAATCATAGCCGGTGGACGATAAGTGATTTATCCTGGGTTTTATGGGGCTGCTAGCCGCGGATGGTCGAGAAAGGCGGGCTGTGCGACCATCGAGCGATCTGGGCGAGTCTGGAACGGAATTCGGTGTGCCTGTTCTGGAACGGAGTAAGCGGGGTCTAGAAGTGTTACTGAAAAAAAAAACAAATAAAAATAAGTAAATTAATATTAAAATAATAACATAAAACAACACAAATAAATATATAAGAAATAATGATGTCAAGAATGGAAATCTTTCAACAATTAAAAATTTTGAAAATAATTACTTCAGTATCTATTTTTGATATCTCATTACAATTAAATATGTAATATTCCTAGAACGAGATATAATTAGTTAATAAAATCGTTTCATTAATATTAAAATTAAACAAACAGTAATTTCCTGTGCATACTGTTACTGAGTTGCTGATTATTAAAACAATGTTTGAGCCAGGTCACCTTATAAGGGAAATACTGCAGACACAGCAAAATCGTTGTGAGAGGGTTCGAGGCTCAAGATATAAGGAGGGCTGAGAAGTTCCTTTCTGGTCTTAAAAGTGCGAGGTAGCAAAAAGTGACCCAGGTTTCCCTTGGTGCATGAAGCCTGGAATTTAGTAAGACCCTTTTATGTCTAAATGTAAATAAAGTAAAACCAAGTTTTTCTGATTTATTATACAGACTGCTTTATTACTTTTATTAAACAACTGATGGAGTACTTGATTTGTATTTAAGAAAATTAATCATAAATGTAAGTCGACTCTGTGCACCTTGTGCACGTGCATTGTGTGTTGCAGTATTACTTAGCCGACGTATAAAATGTTTTCTGATCAAGAACTAGCAGATATGGTGTTAATGTACGAAGAATGTCAGTACAATTGAATAAATGAGACTTGTCGTTTGAATGCGTTACCGTAAGAGACAACAACCTAACAGTGCAAGAGGCAGTTCAGAGGTTACAGGACACCGGGAATGTCCACCTGACAGGAAAGGTGCAACGTGTTTTCAACAATGAAGAAAATATAAACCTCGTTGAGGAAGATGCGTGGCGCAGTACTCGCGACATTGGCAGAGAAGTGGGTGTATCTAACAGCACCGTGTGGCGTGTACTAAGGAAACAATTGGTGTGGCACAAATCCTCACATTGTACAGAGATCTCGGTTCCGGTTTTCTATTCAGTGAACGTGTGGTGTGGTGTGGTGTTTTTGGTGACATAATTTTGACCGTCGTTTGGAAGCAAGTTTATTAACATACGGAGGAAAATGAAATTACATGCACTTTCCCAATTATAGAAAATCCATATGTCTTAACTGACGTTCATCATCAACAGCAGTTTTCTCAGGGTGTTGGGATTGGAAACATCATTTAAATTTCCCTTTGCATTACAGACATATTTTTACGCAGATTTTCGTACCTTCTCTAGCCATTAATATTTTTAAAATAATCATTCTATAAACATATATCTATATAATACAACAAATGTTTTTATTTTAGGTTCCAGGAGCCGCTTTTTACATTTTAAAATATTTTCAGAATATGTATCTACTGTCACGTTGGTAATTAAGTCATTAAAAAGACCAATTTCGTTCGTTAGACTAGAAATTTACCGCACAGTTCTATTTGTGGTTACACCGGATTCGGTTGGCGTGAGTCATTCGCTGAATTTACCTTTCTACATTTGAACAGAACTTTAAATAAGCATGTATAGAGTGTACCTTCAGCAAACATTAGTTAATTTAGCTTTCAGTGCGTTATATATTATATACTACCTGTATTTTCTGTCCATCACTTTGGTTCACGAGTTTGATCCCTTTTGTTTAATTGAAGTTAATAGTTTCGCACAATATACTTTTTGTACAGTAATTTTCATTCTTCTCGTCACTCGGTTTTTAACAAATAGTGTAACGTTTCTAAGCTTCAAATTAGATTCAAAGGATCCAAATTCTAAAATTCTTATTCTAAAAATCGTTTTCACGATTGTTATACAGTATTTTTATTAATGCTATAATAAATGTGGAAGAATATTAAAAAAACACATTGCTTCATAATTAATTAGTGGATAACAAAATTGAGAATATACGTAAACAAATAGTAGTAGTAAAAGTGGTTAACTGGACCAATTTAAAACACTACTAACATAAAAGTGAGACACTCTATATATCATATGATTCTAATGAGAATATAATAATCACTGAAACTGTTAGGTTTATAGTTAGTAATTATTACACGCATTTATTTTGCATTTAAGGAGAAACTAAAATGGAAATGTGATGTATGTGGTTATAATCAATATCATCACTACATAATTATTGTTTTTAATTTATTAGAATTTAAAGAGGAAATAAGGTCGCAATTTCTATTTCTTGGAATAGAATACTTTCTTTTTATGAAGACGATTAAGCTGACGTATGTTCAATTACATACCAGTACATAATTTTCTTTACTTCGTAATACTTCAGAAATTGTGGGTATACATAAAATATAATGTTTTAGGGTTTAGTCTTTCAAATCAAATATATTTTAGATTAGCTAAACTACATGGTAGCTACAATTTTTTAAATATATTTATATATTTTGTCTGTGTAAAAGACGCATTACAGAATGTATGTTTCTCAACTTAATATCTTGTATAGTGCTATGTGTGTAGGGCTCTCAGTTCCAGTTTTATTTGGAATGTGTAAGACACATACCTAAGAACCTTACACATTCCAAATGAAATTAAATTTCTAAATATAGGGTACATGTTCAATGTCACATTGAAATTCTTTAAATTTTTCATTTAATAGCTACAGGTAAATCAACATAATGTAATTGTATTTTATATAAGGTATAAACAAAGAACAATCAAAACTTAACGAATTTTAAACAAATGTGGCTTCGTTTTACTTTGCAAATTATGGGAAATGTCAAATTATTATTAAGCAGGTATAGCAGAAATAGTTTTAAAAACAGTATAGTACAATAAAGTACTACATAGGTAATATTTTTTATTTTTGCAAGATGTCAGAGCAATATCGTTGTGGTGGATATTTGGTTTTGATTTTAGTTCTTATAGTAGCAACTTCGTACATAAAATTTAACATTTTTACAGTTGTTAATTTTTTTTGTACCTATTGCATTCTTTAGAAAGTTAAGTTTTTAAATTTTCTAATACCGAATATAAATATGTACAAACGGAATATTTAATAAGAACATAAAGAAACAATTTAAAATGACTGATTATTCTATTAGCCCAGTTGTTCGAAATAAATATGTAAATATTTACATAGTTCTACATTTTAATTCGCGGAAACCTTGGCATATATTTGGAGTTGGATTTAATTAAATATGAATATTTTTAAGAATCACGCACTCTTGGAATATTAAATATCAATATCAAGTCAAAATAGTAAAATATTTGCAAAATTTTTTTATTCAGATTTTCTGTACGCTGAAAAAAAGCAAATATACTTAGTAAGAAACATAACTATACATGAAGAAAAATACTGAATACAATGATACTATAAACATCATATGTAATATGTAATTATAAAATAATTTGTATCACTACAGAACATGTAATAACAATGTGAAATCCACAATTACATCATAAAATTACTGAAACTCACAAAATATACTATACAGATGACTGCGAAAACATGTCCAATCTGCGTGTAAAGACCACTAACCAAGACCGTTGACATTTCTGCATGCATTATTAACTTGTGATTTTAATTCTTTAGTCAGTTCTGTAAGAAAATCCTAAAACACCAAAATTTATATACTCGCAATGCGCATTGCGAAAATAAATGAATTGCTCCTCAATTTAAATTTTGTACGAAGAATACCTACATTTTTTATAAATTTGTGAAACAGAAACGATTATTTTATTATATAAAAATATTGCTGACTTTTTTATCATACATCCTATTTGCATTGTTATTGTTTATTACTTTTTTGAGATTTAGAGCTACATTTCTGTGGTTAACTTTAAAATACATACATATTTATTATTTGTTGAAATGTTGTTGACAACAACAATATTCAATATAATTAACAGTACCTATAAATAGCTTCTTATATTAAAGGCGTCCGAATGAGTTCTGAGGAAATTTATATTTTGTTTTTTTTCCATATAAGGAAAAATGATATTTTCTTAAATCCATACATCCATACATCTTTAAAATATTGTAGTTGATGCTAAACAAATAAACACTTTTCTTCAATTTATGTATCTATGTTATGTCAATGTATTATTACAATAACACCAAATAATGGGAATTTCATTGAAAACAATTGATTGCGCTTTCATAATCTTTAGAAAAACATAATCTAGTGTCGATATATGAATTATAAAAAAATATAAAAGTAATTAATAGCAGATTCTGGGAAGAATGTATTAAAACAAATGTTTATACAGGGTGTTTCAGAAAGACCTTCCGTAAATTCAGTATATCAAAATTTTAGTGACTGTAATTAGTCACTACTAACTACAGTCACTAACAATCACTAAAATTTTGATATAAAGTTAAATTAGAGTTTAAAATATTACTAAGAATGTATGCGTTGTTTATGAGACATCCATCAATAAGTTTTAACATTAGCCTACCTTGAGAAAAGTCACTTATTTTCTTCACCGTAATATTGTAAGAGTTCAATTAAAAGCCTTTTTTCTCAAAAACCGTCCGTATATTATTATTATTATATTGGAACCCGAATGGTAAAAAACCTAACCTTAAAAAAATTAGAACCTAAAATGTAATAGGAATGTAGCATAACTAGCGCCCTCTATGAAATATGATTAGACCAGCGTATTTGGCATCCTTAAAAACCCCGGAATACCAAATTTCATAAAAATATTTCGTACCGTTTGGAAATTTTATTTAAAAAAATTTATTTTATCGCTCCGTACCTCGAAAACAAGAGGAGATAGACATGTAGTTCATAAGACAAAAAATTCTTATAATTTGTCGTACTATCACCCCCTGAATTTACGGGAGGTCTTTCTGTATATGTTTTATATTTTTCTGGTGGCTTTAGATATTTAGCGTTTACGAGCTTCATTTTTGAAAACGGCCAAAACATAATTATTCTGTTCTATTCCATGATATTAGCATTAATCCATAATGAGATTTTGAATCAACATGCCTTACCTAAGTTAATAGAGCATAAAAAG